GAGAGTTAGTGCTAGCGTATTAAATGGATTATGTGTAAAAGGAGTGATGGCCACTTAATCAGATAACATTTTACTGTAGCCACTTATTTTTATGTAAATAATATTAAAGGGGTGTACAGTACTGTATGAGTTTTAGGCAGGTGTGGAAAAATGCTGTAAGAATGCTTTCAAAAATAGACATGTTAATAGATTATATTTATCAATTAACAAAATGCAAAGGGAATGACAAAATGTAAATGCTCCGTACTTGTCAAGGTCCACTTAAAGCACTTTTACACTACATCTGTATTCACCATTCACCCACACTGGCAGAACAGCCGCCAGGGGCAATTTGGGGTTCACTATCTTGCCATTCTTTTAGGTTCACTTGCACAAAGTCAGGGATTTTGTAGGCACATCGTCTCGTGTATGATTAAACAATTACACCAAACAGGCGCCAATGATTACCAATTCCTTTCACTTCAACTCCTACACTAAGGACAGCATTTCTTACTTCTAGGCTGGATTAATAAAAATAAATAATTATTCTCAGGCTGCTCGAATAAGTCCGCTAATATTCTACAGTTGATCCAGAATGCTGCTGCATGTGTACTGACAAGAACCAGGAAAAGAGATGCCAACATGCCACCTCTATAAAGAACATCGAGAGGTTGGAGACGTCTTCCCTTCCAACATCACTAAAGATGGCCCAGTAAACTGTTATTGATTAGCAAGTTGTCCTGTTGTTGGCCCAACAGATATCAAGTCATCTGATAGGCTGAATATGCAACTTCCCTAGTAACAGCCAAGAGACATTATTGAACATTTACAAATTCAAACAAAAGAATTCGCAGTTTGAATCAATTTCTTTTTATTGTGAATTAGAAAATGGTCAGGTGAGCAAGTTGAGTTTCACTACTACAGACCATGCACCAGCTCACAGCGTCACTGCAACCTCTCGACGCAGTTCATCTCTGGATACGCCTCCTCGCGACCTCAGGACTTCCCCTCTCAGAAAAACGGCCATATAGGTCAATTATGCAGCAACTTACTACGATCCATATTTAAATTTTTTGTTATTTTTTTGCCATGACCTCTAGTGGCCATATGATGGCAGCAGAGGAAGAAGTCAGGTGAGATAGTATAAAGTAGGGCTACACGATTTGGAGAAAAAGTTATATTGTGAAAATTGTGGACAATATTGCAATTGCGATATAATGGAACAAATGGTGCTATGAGTCTACTTGTTTGATTAACAAGGACAATGCATAAAATACTGAAAATAGAGATTTTGAAATGTCCAAAAATACTGATTTTGCCACATTGTCAACAGCTTTTTAAAACATGCATCACAGAAGACTCTACTGTTACTGGTGCTCTGCAGCTTGTGGCATGTGAGACTTTGAACCAGGTTACAGATACACCAACACAAACCGCAGCACACTTTATGTGCACAAGATTACCGAACAATATTTATAACAATATCTTTAGTTAAACAGATGTAAAACAGAACGAGGAGCTTGTTACTCTCGGGAGGAGGTGGCTAAAGTGAGCACATTTTGGCACAATGTCCCACCCCATCAAGGCTGTGATTGGTCAGTTAAAAAAAGTGACACTGACAAGCACATCGGCTCTGTGAAAAGTTGAACATGTTGAACAAAAGGCAACAAGCTAACGTTAAATGGCTAGTTAGCTAAACCCAAATCTTCTCCCTGTGAGAGCCCGGTGTGGTGGTGGATAATGAGAAGACAGCAGTGCACAGAGAGATGAGAGGGTCACACACAGAGCACACTTTTTTTGTTTATTTAAATCGCACCCTTTTGCAGTTATGTAATCGCACAGGATGACATCACCATTGCAATTGCGATTAAATTAATTGTGCAGCCCTAGCAAGCAAACTAGTGTTGTCATAGTGTTGTCATTGTCATGTGACTTACAAAACGTCCTTAAAGCTTGATACTTGCCAACGCTCATACATGTCGTTTTAGGGAACGGTCATATAGACGGGTTACTTGTATACAAATAATACTGGATGCACGCGCAGTCAGGGGGCAAAAGTGCTTTTGTAGCTGGTCAGAAGACTGTAGTCAACCACTGCAATCAACATAGATTTCGCAATTGTTTGTCAATTCTTGCTGACTCAATAATAAACTGCCATTTCAGAGTTTGCATATTAATAAAACATGTGCGACTGCGTGGCAGGTCAACGGCACCGGACCTTATGTTGTTCAAGTCAGCTGTTAGCCAAAAAACTTCTCTTATAAATGCATGTGCAAAACAGTAACGTTAGTTCAAAAGTCAGGAGACTTTTATTTGTTTTATTTCAGCCAGTGGCGTTAAGATGTTATGTTTTGTAAAAGTCATACTCCTTAATGGTGATGAATATGCTATCAGTTAAAAAGTCGGGAGAGACTTGCTTTATTTTTAATTATTTTTAAATATAGCCTATAAGGGGGAAAGCAGTTCCCTAAAACTACTGTATCTCTGAACTCTCACACATGTAGGCTATTCTATGTTATCTGTTTTTGATAACTAATGCAATAACTAATGTAACATTGTTTCACTTCCATTCACTGAGCCTCCCCTGAAACTGTTTGGAGCCCCCCTAAGGAGGCCCGCCTCACACTTTGAAAACCCCTGGCCTATACTGTACAGCATCATCTGGTCTGAGAGGCTGCGGTGTTTTCAGTTTGGCTGGTTGTTGATCCAGGAAAGTGGATTCATTTCTAAAATGAGCTGCTGAACAGATTTTCTGTTACTTTTTTCCAACAACACACATGTCGTTTGGGGACAATTGACAATCAACCTATTTTGTTGTTTAGGTATGAGGACGTGTTGTGTCTACACACAAATATGGTTAGAACTTACGGTTAGTATGCTAGTTACGTGGAATTCTTGGAGGAATTAGAAAATCTCATATCGCCTGAAGACAGCCCCCACTTGTACTCCTCTGTGTCTTCCAGACCGAGAATAAGAACATCTGACTTATTACCCTGGCGACCTGTCCAGGGTGTACCCCGCCTTTCGCCCAATGTCAGCTGGGATAGGCTCCAGCCCCCCCGCGACCCTGTACGCAGGATAAGCTGTTGATGATAAATGGATGGATGGATGGATGGATGGATGGATGGATGGATGACTTATTACCTTTTACTATCATCTATCGAATCTCACCCACCATCTAGAACTCTGTGGTGTGGCTGTCTTAGACTGCAAAGAACCTGGGTGTGACACTGAACGACCAAATGTCCTTTGCTGCCAACTTAGCTGCAACAACCCAGCTCCTGCAGATTCATCCTCCACAACATCAGGACAATATGTCCATTCCTCTGCCAGGAGGAGCAGGTTCTGGTCCAGGCAATTGTCATCGTGCGCCTAGACTACTGGAACTTGCTCCTGGCTGGTATGCCTGCATGTGCCATCCGACGTCAGCAGCTGATCCAGCAGCCTGACTGGTGTTCAACCTACCCAAGTTCTCTCACACTACACTGTTTCTCCGCACCCTGTACTGGCTACCGGTGGTTGCTCAGATCAGATTCAAGACACGTGTACTTTCCTACCATGCTGCGAATGGCTCAGGCCCATCCTACATCCAGGACAGGGTCAAACCATACGCCCCGGCCTGTCCACTACATTCTACTACTGCCAATCACCTTGGTACTTCCTCACCATGAGGGAGCCCAGCTCCAAATGGACATCAGGACAGCAGAAACTCTACACATCTTCATATTCAGACTGCACCTTTGCCCATGAATAATAGAAAAATCTCTTGATTGTTAATGTAGCACTTGAAGCAGTTCAGCATATTTGATAAAATTGTACTTGCATGATTCTCTCACATGGTTCAATGTACTTATTGAAAGTTGTCTGGATAAAAGCATCAGCTAAATAAATAAAAAATAAAAAAGGCCATCTCTCATTTTATTATTTACATTTGCGCTCGTCATACTGTAGTATGCCAATATTTCTTCTGTGAAAAAGGCTTGTTTAGTTAAGCTATGTTTGCCACCTGTATGACATTTTAATAAGCAGAGCTGCAGCCAGCAGCAATTACAACTAATTGGTCTGCTCAGTTAAGAGTGTGCTGTAGTGTTCTTGCCTGTTCGTGTCTTCTCTTTGTTGTTCAAAGGGTTTGTGCATGCAACATTTTGCACGTTTTACTAAGTGTAAGTAATTGGCATTTTGATATAACTATTAGTTGGTTAATGTAGTTCAAATGTACCCACTGATTAGTTGTGTGTCATGTTAGTTTGGTAGATTGTGTAGTTAAACTCTAAATGTGCAGTTCATTAATATAGCATTAGATTGTATTTGTACAATCTTTACCTTTAAACTCAATGCAATTTATAATTAAGCAGGTCTTAATCTGTTTGAACTAGCGGTGACAGTTCATTCTTGTACATTAATTATTACACGTGCCTCATGCCTGCTTGTTAAAGATGCAGCAAGAAAGTTTATAGCACATACATACTGATAATTTGTACGCCCTTTTTAATTCCTTTGAATCCCATATGTAACATATTTTATGACATTCGGAATGAAGAATGGACAGTCATCTAATTGCCATTCTGCAACTGAGCTGTACAAAAAGGTCCAACTTCACAGAGCATAGCAACAACAACAAAAAACAGGTCACTAAAAAGTCTAATGAGGGTGAATACCTTTTTAATAGGCACTGTTCTGTATGTTTGAGCCCTGCACAATTACTCAAGATTTTTATTTTTATTTTTTTTACACATGGGCAGCCTGAAACGAAAAACGAAAGAAAATAATATATAGCAAGCCTTGACAGTTTTAGCTTGTGGAGTAAGCGAATGGTATAGCCATTTAACTTCACACTCAGTGAACATTCACTTCCCATGGACACTGATGCCTCTCTTTCTAAGTGAAGCGTATAGCTGCCAGTGACCTAAAAGCAACAACTGAAGAAGCTTTCAATTCTCTCAGGACCATCATACTGTGCAGAACATATTTTAAACATGCTGGAAATAACGTGCTGAGAAAGTAGTAAAACAACAACTTACAATTTGACACACGAAAGGTAAGTTGATCTGATTGATGCCCGTGGCAAAAACTCCAAATGTCAGCCCCGTGTGAAAGAGGAAGTTGAGGAGTGTGTGCCAGCCATTCCTGCTGATGCGGATCACACTGCACACAATGAATACAGTTAAAAGTGACCTTATATGAGGTAGTTATTGTGGCAGTTGGACATATTTCAGTGAACACCTATTATTAAATACTGTGCTTTTCAATAGTCTGTTGCATTTTGACTAAAAATGTTCAGTCAAAGGAATAAAATCATAAAATGTATCAATGTCTAGGGAAGCCTCTTGGATGAGAGACGAAACGTCTTCTAATATCTTGATTGGATATCATTAAATGTAGTTACTGTTGTATTGGTGTTATGCCAAATTAACAAATTAACCTTTGCTCGATAGCACAACATTTAAATTTTTATCCATGAACAGCATAACATAAATCTATATCTAGGATATGACTTTGCACATAATATCTACATGCCCTATGTACATTGAAAGAATTATTGTTCACTGTAACCAGTGTCCCTGTCCTCACTGGCCCTGAGGTAAACCCTTCCTAATGTGACTCCACTCTAAGAGATGGGATCAAAATCCACATTCCTCGTTCTATGCTACAGTGAATTCTCGATTTCAGATGAAGCTAATATGACATTTGAGCAGTCTGAGATATCGGGTGTTCAGACCGAAAACAGTACTGCATCAAAACAAATTCAAGACAGACAGATTGGAACTTTGGAACGAAGATCAGGAGTTTGTCCCCCATTTCTTACATTGAAGTCATGTTAGGAGGGGATCACTGCAGGGCTAGTAAGAAGGAGGAATGCTTAAGACCTCAGTATGCTTCAAACAAATTGACATGTTGTCTAATCATGTCTAAAGGCTAAAGTGTTCAGAATGCCAATTCCATTATTTTAAATTGGGTTTTAGAAACTGTTAGACAATCCAAGAAGCATACTTTATTGGTCTTTATAGCAACTAATAGCAACTATCTTTTTCAAAATGCAAATGGACATGTGAGTATTGTATTAACATAGACTTGAAAACGATCCTTTTAAAAATGTTCATCTCACCTGTGGTGGACAATATAGGTCATGATGGAGACAAGCAGACAGAGCAGCATGACTGCTGTGCACGCATACACCACTGGATGCAGGTAATCCCCGGGGTATGGTGGGAAGGACAGCACTCGCTTCAAATCCTGCAGAATGACAGAAGTTTACAAATTTATCAGGATAATTGGAGCACCAAGAACAGATAATAAAAAGCAAACCACACAGAGATATGTGCCCTTGTTCAATGAAAAACAATGGAGGATTGGTCTGAAAGAAATCTGAGCAGATCACCATAACGTGGAGTCCTCAGGGTTTGATTCTTGAATCGTTATTATTCAACCTGTACACGCTCCCTCTAGGACAAATCATACATGACAACAACGTTGCTTATTATAGCTACCCGTACACCAAGTGACGGTGGTCCCTTTGACACACTTGCTCTAGCTAGTCAATAGCTGGATTGTCAATTCAATTTCCTTCAATTAAAGCTCACATTATCTGCACAAATAGAAATGTTTCAGGGGGAATTATATGGTGGAATTATTTCTTTACGAACAACAGTTTGCTCTCTTCAATCACTATGTCTGTGCAGCGTCTCCAGCAATGGTGCAGGTTGCCACATGTGGATCTGTGAACATATGATTTGGTATGCATGATAATAGTAGCAAACGGGATGACAATGCTCAGTTCATGTCAAATGGGAGTTTCTGTTTCAACTTTGCCAGTTTCCAACTTGTAAAGAGAAGTCATGTCAACATCCAAGTCATCACAATAACTGGGAGATAGGTATTTTTCTCAAAGCATCTATATATCTGATTTGGTACTTAATTTGGAAGTACCAGAAAAACAAACAAACATGGACACCTCACATCAGCCAAAGTCTATCTTTCATGGTAAGTAACACCTATGTTGTGTGCTATGTTGCACAGTATTTTTAACCATACCCTGCACAAATACAGCCCCCATTGAGGTGTCCAATGACATGACACACAAGTCACAAACATGGGAATCTTTCAATCTCTACAATCCATTCTGTGAAAGCAGCACAAGACTCAAGGAAGCGGTGCACTGTCGCTGTGCCCAGCTATTGTTATATTTTATATTGTTATTGTTATATTGTATTATTGCTTACTTGACCACGGAGCCCTGCACGTCCACAAATGACGCTAAAGGAGTACCCAGTGGGTTCAAATGTGATGCCAAGGGGTCTTGCCCAAGCATCCATGTGTGACGACTTGGGAGTGAGAACGTGTTGGATGCCAACATGCTGTTAGAAGCCAAGAGCTTTAGGAATGCTCTTAAAGAAAATAAACTTGTTTCCTATATGCACAGTGCTGCTAACAACAATGTTGCCATGAACTATCAGCACTCATAACATCCAGGCTCGCTCATGCTCGTCAGAATGACTACATGAAGCCTGCAGACATGCTGCTAGAGTTTGGAATGTGCTGCATGTTTCCAAAGCCCTGAACAATTACTCAAGCTTCTTTCAGTATGAGTGCATTAATGAAATCTCCTGACATGGTACCAGTATCTAGCAACATAGACTGAATGACTGGAAAATAGAATAAAAAAACCCTCTGCATTGTAGTGTAATGTGAATGTGCAGTAATTGATTCAATGTAATTTATAGTGAAATTACAATAATATAATTTTATATTGATTCTGTTATCAAAGCTGCTTGCTGTGGATAGACAGAAAGACAGTGTACCACTGCTTATTGTAGTCGTAGTGTTGCCTAACTGCACTGGCATCACTGTCTTAAAATAACTTGGTGCACATCATTAAACATGTAGAACATGGTAAAAGGGATTTCAGTGTCTCTTAACATTAGCAAAAGGCATATTATCAGACTTTGTTTGGGAAGCTGTATGTTTGCCTTTTGGAACCCAACTGCACTTTTATCTCAGCCACATACTGTCTAGTAATCTTATAGGATGAGAGGAGCTGCTTCGACCGGCCATTATGAAAGCCTGCCCCAATCCTGCTAATGACGTTGGGCTGCAACTGAGGCTTGTTTTCATTACTGAGTAATCTGCATATTCTTTTCTGTTTCTGTTCGATTACTTGCTTGGTCTAAAATCTCATCACAAATTTACAAACCCCAAGGTGACTTTTTCAATTTTTTTGTCCAATAGTCCAATTATCAGATGCCAATTATTTTTTGTCAACTGTCTAATTCTTTCAGCACTATAATCAAGTCTTCCTACTATCAACAAAACATTTCTGTTGTTCAAGAACTATTAAAATACATAGTGCCACACTGCTGTATTGGTAGGCCTATATAATGGACATATTTCTTCATAACAATAAATGGCACAGCATGCAGTTTATGATGGAGACATGTTCATTGACCAAACTCCACGCCCAAAAATCTATTAACCTATACCTTCACTGATGAAATGCACCAAACTGATATCCATTCATGGATATTGGTCACGGAACTGAGTGGCAAACATGCATCTACCATCATACATTGACATGGAAAACAAAACATGGAGATTTAGAGTCAGAAAGAATTCAAGCTATTGCAGAACGTTGGGTTTTAATACTTAATTTTTCAAACCGTAAACCTGTTTTTGGACACTTAAGTAGTTGGGGGGTGGGGGCTGTGGGTTGAATCAAAGGAAATAGTAACATAAAAACAAAGCCATTATAACGTGGTGAAATCTTTGGCCATCAATCTAAAATGGTGGTACACAGAAAGGAGATCTAATCTCCCACTGAAAGAAAGTGAATAAATATGATTGATTGACATGTCAAAAGACAAATCCATGAGGTTACCAACAAACACATTTTATGAAATGCGAATCACTGCACATGCATTAATATTGCTCAGATGACTTGGCTGTGGGGGCAGTTAGAGAAAGTGACTCATATACAGTAAGTGATGTGCATGTCCTGGACAGGTCTAGCATTCCCTCTGTGATAAAAGACAAAACATGCCTTTAAACAACAGTTAGGCCTTCTCCTTCTTTTTACTGGAACACACTCCTGCATGTGTATAATTCAAGCTGAAGATTCCTGTGGAAGCAGGAATCAAGAGCTAACTTGGCTCTGTCTTTACGACAGTGTCAACTCGCTTTCCTTTGTGTTGCAAGGCCTTGTATTTTAGAGACACTGTCATGTCTTCCACCTCTCTCTCTCTCTTTCTCTCCACCTCTCTCCGGGACAGCATGCTCTCTCATCACGCTCCATTGAACAACCCATCTATTAGACAGAGCATGACTGATTAAATCCTTTGCAGATCCCATAAAATGAAAAATACAGACATGCACACACAGTAGCAGAGATCTGTGCACACGACATTCTACTTATCTCAGATCACTGACCACACGCTGTGTCATGAGGTAAGATTTTGTAATTAGGCTTCTTTTGTTCTGAATCTTACGCCTGTGTAAACACATTTTTTTCACCATCTTACAAGTGTGGGAGGGACTCCAGATAGAAGTTACAAGATCCAAAGTCATATTCTCTTCTAAATACATTTGTTGGTCAAAGGTAAAGGCTTTCATCTCTTGACTTCCTGCTCCTTTGTTTTTTTCCCCTGATGTTTACATTTCTGTGAGATGTGTGAACTAAATCGCTCGATTTAGTTCACACATCTCTTGAGGGTAATTGGTCTTGAGTGTATCAGACATGTTTCATTAGTATCATGGATGTCCTGAGCAGATCTGCTGGATGTAATAGTAGTGATCAAGACATTCTTTAATTGATTGCATCATCTACCATAAAGTCTGATTAATTTCTAAATTCAGCAACAATAGTTGTCAAAAACACCCCTATATGCCCAGCTATATCTCAGTTTCCTAACTAGCGGTCTTCATAGGTCAGAATTTTTGGACCTGATACATGAAGGCTCAGTGGAAAAACTACTCGAACCCAACTTGCCTAAATTCATTTTCAGAAAAAACGTACCTGATCCAAAAGGGAACCAAGGATATGTAGACCTAACAAAAATGGACCCATACAGATTGAGAACATCAACACTGGCTGCTAGGAACCCAGTTGACTCTTGAAGATAAGGCTAGATGGCTAGATAGTTAATCATACCTGGGGGAGGCCTGAGCCTTCAGTGATTCTGTATCGCACTTCATAAAGTTGGGATAGACAGATTAAGAGTCTACAGCCATTTTACCAGCTTCATGAGACTTTACTTAGACACACTTTGCTGACATATGCAGTGAATGACCAAAGTCATAGGCATATATCCTTTGGGCAGCATTGATATCTGTACAAATTTTCATGTCAACCCATCCAGTAACTGTCAAGAAATTTCATTTAAAACTGATGTACAGACCAAAATTTCAATCCCAAGAACCATGCCAACATAGGCGTATATTTCAGGGGGTACGCAGGGGCACGCCCCACTCAATATTTAGAACACATGCATTTGTCCCCCCCAATAAAAACATGAAAGCAGCAGAGGACTTTATTTTGACGCACTGCTAGAACACAACTCAGAGTTAGAACAACGCTTCACATAAAGCAGGTGGTGGTAGTAAGCATTGGCTGCAATCTGCCATGAAACAGAAAGAAGAAGAAGCAGCTCTGCATGATTGATAACGATAGAGCCAGATGGAAAAAGGAGAAGGAGGTCCCACATTGTTTTATTATTTTATTATCATTTTTTCAGTTTCCGATTTTAGCTAATTGATCACAGTGTTGGGCAATTTTACACTGTTGACATAGGCTGCGTTCACACTACTATGTTTTCATTTTAAAATGCAGAACTTTTGCTACGTTTGCACTTTCTGTCCAGACTAAAACAGAGAAGTTCCCATCTTCCACAGAAAACACTACTCTAAATTGCCTGAAAACCGCCCGATTGTAGTCCAGCCTTTTCTTCCATTACCATGTTGCGTCATGTTGTAACAAGCGTCATAATACTCGCCTAGCGGCGAGTCAGGCATGTCCTCAAAAACACAGGTGGAAAAACACTCTGAGCTGCAGCACACAGTGACAAGACATCTGTCTGCTCTCTCTCCTCTCCCTTCCAAACACTAGCTATCCTCCAAGCAGTCAGTGGACATAAAGTTGTTCCTGTGATGTAGAGACAGAGCTCAGTTAAAACTTTATGGATGAAAGATACTTTTGTTACAGATTAATAACTCACCACTCTGAAACTCTTGCTCCAGTACATGTTGCCAAGCTGGTAAGGGGAACATGTACAGCTGAACCGAAGCCGTGCCGTGTTTACCGGGTGGTCAGATCTGCTCGGGGTGCCTGCGCCTGCCGGTAACATCACATAACGTGATGACGTAGCAGACTGTGATTGGCTGTATGTCGGTCTGCTTACGGATATAGTTTTAACGGGTCCTCGGATCAACCCCAGAGCCATTAAATAATGTTATTTAAGTTAAATAATCTTATTTAACAGCTCTGGGAGAACTTATACAATGAAATACAGCTCTACTTATTAAACGGAACTTAACACAGCCTGACGTTAGCTGTGTATTAATGTTACAACGCTAATGTTAGCTGCCGATCAAGTTAAGCTAACGGTAGCTACAAACGTAGAGCCAATAACGTCATGTGACGTTACTAGCAGGCGCAGGACCCTGAGCAGATCTGAACACCCGAGCACATCTGGTACCTACACCGGCTTCTCACAACCCGCCCTACTCTGCATCTGATTGGCTAGAAGTCCTTGACCAGGTACTGCCAACAAAGATCTTGTAGAAGTGAGATGCATCACTCTGTAGCTAAAATGGAGCGTTCAACATACAGGGTGAAAAGAGGAGCTGCAGCAATTTGCAGTACAACAAAAAATATGGTGGTTTTTTAAAATGAAACCATGTAAACCTATGAACAACCCCTAAATCAAATAATGAACCTGAAAATGAGCATAATATGACCACTTTAAAATATTTTGTACTGTGCAAATAACATTTATGCACTTGTACTGTGCATGTCGCTGTATTTGCTTTGCATCGACTCCCAGTCTGTTTTCCGCCGCCACAGTGGCTTTGTACTCCTGTGTTACTGTTAGTAACAGTTCCAGCTCATTGTGGGTCCATGCAAAAAATCTCTGGTGTGGTTCTTCTTATGTAATAGTACGTTCTTCTTTTGCCAGATCTTCTGCAACTGTGGAGCAGACAATCTTCCTCCTGTTTACACCAGCATGCGCATGCAGTGTATGTCAATGGCCACTAGAGATGCGCTTTCAACTGTTTTAAGATCAGTTTTGATACACAGCAAAAATGTTGGTGTGGACGGAGATCATTTTAAGACTCCATTTTTAACAAAAAAGTAGTTGTGTGTAGTCATAGAGCACTGATCCAGCCTACCTGTAATAGCACAAGAATAAAACTGTTTTGCTCAATATGAGTCCTGGAAGAGCATAGAAGACACTTTACAATTCACAGGCTGAGTACTACTCTGACTACCACTTACTAATAAATAACTAATGGACAGAAGATTGGAGAGACGCGGAGGTCAGTATGGGTCCATAGCTTATTTTTTCCCTGGGGACCCTTGTGGGTTTATCCGGCCATGCCTGAAGTCCTCTGCTCAGTGGCAGCTAACTTGCAAAGCTGCATGTTAGGAACATTACTAATGCAGTGCTAGAAGAGTGTCTGTGGTCTGTATAAAGGATAAAAGGTGCAATTTCCCTTTTTTCTGTTTTTAAGAACAGTAAAAAAAAAAAAAAAAAAGTTCTGGAAAAGCATCTGGATTTGAAACAAAGTCTAAGCTGTTATGACTAGTACCAGCCTGAGAATCAGCTAAGAAATATTTCCCTTATGTTTCCCCTTAACTTTAATAACCTGAGTTTTCTTACTCTGGGACAAAAACATGATGAAAATAAAAAATCGGTAGGCTAAACAGAGAGCAGCAATGGTTTCTAAAGTCAAAACATAAAGATGATACCATAATTAATACCTGGTTAGGCCTACAGGTATAAAAGCACCTTACCATTAGTCTTAGTGGAGATGCTCTTCAGTTGTGAAGTTCTGGTCTGGCCTGAAACGTCCTTGCTGCCCCTCCTACCCTGCGCCCTCCTGCTCCATGTAGAGGACGAGATTCTTAATCAAGCCGGTGTCCTTCTTCCAACAGCAAAGGTGCAGCAGAGGAAGATCTGATCACAGGAGGGTGTTCAGCAGGACACTGCTCTTACTCCAGCTTGGCGGCTCCAGGAGAAGCGCGGACGGGCGGCAACAGCCTCCCGGTCCCGACTCCATAGCGGCAGCACTGGTCAGGGAAATCAAAGCAGAAAGAGTCAGCTGCCACAGTGTTGCTCGAACCTAGCCTACACTTTAAATAATTCTCCAGATTTGAATGACTCATGAGTGTGGGCGGTGGGGAGGATGACAGATCACGTTCAGGAGACTGTTTAAAACTAATATAGCCTGTCCTGAATAGAGACGACAGGCAGGAGATGATGGAAATAAAATTATCAAATTGTCAAAAATAGACTGGTCGTGGTCACGCTTATATTTTCTTTAGTATGGAAACGTGGCTATTAATAGGATCTGACAGTGTGTTTGCGCGCTGACTCGAGGACGGGCAATTCAGTTATTTCTCCAAATATGTCCACTATAGCAATGCCATGAATGGTTCAAATGACCCACACAAAGATTATGCGTGAAAATATACCATCGCTTATTTTATGAAAAGCAAAGGTCTGAGTTACCTGCGGCAGTGTCTTCTCCTCTCAGCTGGGTAGAATCCAGACCCTCCTCAATCCAGGTCAGTGAAGATAGTGGCTGCGCTCCATTTGCCCGTAACGATGTGCCGCATGTTACGTAGTGAGCAGGGGCGGGGATACCCGGTTGAATAAAGTGCAGGCGGCACATGAGGCAGAGGAGGGTGTGACGTTTCAGATGATATTCAGACAACTAGAGAGTGGGTGGTAACTGTTCTTTTTAAGGATGACTTGTTATGGGATGTGGGCTATTCTAGAATGAGGAGAATTTCAAGTAGCTAGATTCAGTGGTGAAATAACCGGGCTGAAGTAGAGTGCAATTTTGAGGAAGACTAGCCTAGTTCACATAAATTTTTTGCTACTTTATATTACTACTCCCCACCAATTGCCTTTGGTTGATAAATAGGCTAAAGTGATTAGGCTACATTTCAGAGGCAAATGTACATTTTACTGCATTGATTTCACAGCTAGGCCATAGCTACTTGTGAAAAGTGACAAGTGATCTAGTCAACAGCTCCAAATCTTCATGACTATCAGGCAGGGGTGTAATATTTGGTTGGGACGATACCACCAATATCCAGCAACTACAGAATTGTCCCTAGCAATGATTTTGATCAAACATTTTAAATATTAGTTTTCCGTCAGTGTCTAGTGAATGTATTTGGTACACAAACTGTTACCAGTCCGCTGCAAATTATCAAGAGAATGATATAAACCAAAAGGCAGAATTGTATTAGGACCACTGTCAGAAACAAATAATAGTAATCTGATATTTGGAGAATTAAATCAAATAAAATGTCAGGAAATATTTGGAGAATAAAGTCATACTAGTTTGCTTGGAATCATTTGTGCATGTGCTAGTAGCCTATTTCCTGCAGTCCCCAGTTATTTAGACTTGTAAAAAGTCTGGACTGCCGTGCGGCATCTTTCCTCTGACCGGTGGCTCTGTGTTGCTGCTCTGTTTCCCCCTAGTTAGAGACACCTTTGCTCTGTGTGGGACCGTCTCTCTGCTCCAGGATGTATCCCACTGAAGCGGCTGTGAGCTGCAGTTTATCAGAGGTGCTAAAGTCAACGTTGGTGTGGATTTGTGGTGAGAGTTCTGCCTGAGCAGAAGTTTTTTCAGCTACTTTGGGTTCTCCACCTCTGATGAAGAGCAGTGCACACATTTCATCCAGTACAGTCCCAAATAGTTTGTGGAACATATCTGAAAGCAATACAGAATGCCTGAGAGCCTCATTGCATTATTTTCTCCTTTTATTATATATATATATATATATATATATATATATATATATATATATATTTGTCACCTGACGCCTGAATTTGTGTTTCCCTTCACATAAATGTAGGTAGGTAGGTTGACACAATTTAACAAGTTATAGAGTAAAACTGAGTTTTGTAACTCCCTTCTGCTACATAGCAGGCAATATATATGAATAAATAATTAATTATGAAAAATGGTAAACAGAAACAAACTACCATCACTGGATCAGTCCTTCGAGCACATCACCTCTACCTGTCAGCAACTGCACTGGTTCACAGGTACAACTCATGCGGTTTAAATGACTTCTTACTGTTTACAGATCTCTCCATGGCTTAGCACCTCACTACTTATCTGATTTTCTCCATCCTACACACTTACTCACTCACTATCTTCCTCTGACGCCCGTCCACTCTCCACTACCCCCCCAGGCTCCTCACTATGGGTGACAGGCCCTTCAGTGTGGCTGGCCCTAGCCTCTGGAACGCTCTCCCTCAGGGTTTGCACCAGTAAACATCTGGGTCTTTTAAAACAAAACTGAAAGCTTACATATTTAGATTAGCCTTTCCTAGTGTTATGCAATATGTATATTATCAATGCGATCAGACTATGTATACTCAATGTATTTCATGGCTTGTTTTTCCTTTTCTTTTTGGCCTCTTTATCCTTTCCTTCTATTACCTGATTTTGTAAAGTGTCCTTAGGTGACTTGAAAGGCACTGACAAATAAAATACATTATTATTATTATTATTATTTATTATTATTATGTTTGTCTTCTATTCTGAGGTAGCAGATAACAATACCACAATCTATCCACAATAAATTGCGTGTATTATGTGTCATCACAGAATTTGTGACACTAGGCGAGTAGGGCTGTCACAAACGTTCATAATGAAATGCAAAATAGCCATCAGGTCTTTTAGGGCAAGTGATCTGGGTAAACTACACTTTTACTACATTGTGCTGGTGTACAAAAATCTCTGTTCATGAGCTGATTATGTATATCTTAATAGTTTCACTAGGTAGAATTTCTGTTCAGACACAAACTAAATTTAAAATGTTAATGCATATATTCATTATAGAATGCTTAATATACGGGGAATATCAGAGCAGACAATATACTACATCAATCAGTGACACCATGTGTCTTGGATGGGTCTGCAGGCTTCCAAGCTAACTAAAGACTGCATCTAATGATTAGCACTCCATCCAAATGTTTGGAGGAATTTGCCAGTGAAATGAAAATTTGTTGTTTTGTTATCCAGGAGACCCAAAAGCTGTCCACTAACAAGAGATATCAAATATAAACAATTAGTCTTATTCTTTCTTTATTCTTTATTCCAAAAAAGGACCACAATGGAAATAAGCTGTCTGGCTTTATTGTGTTTTTATCCTTTTGATGGTATGTGTAGCTGGGGCATCACTTGTTGGAGGCGCCACTTTTATATTTACAATCAATAAAGAAGCTCAATCAATCAATTCCACAGAGATTCAGACAAAGCGAGTGGCTAGGCAGGCAATGGAGAGCTGTTAGAGTTTCACTGGGATCCAGGTAAGTGGAGTGAGCTGGGCAGGCAACAGAGAGCTAGCCAGACTCTGAGTGGTGCATGCAGGCTGAAATCTCCAGCAGGGAAAAAACCTGAGGCATAAACATCACAATGTCAGACAAATCAAGCAAAATGAGGAACAAAAGTATTAAAGATGTGGTATTCTGCTTTTTGGCTTTTCCCCTCTCCTTTATTGAGTTATATACCTTTTATGTGCATGTAACAGGTTTGCAAAGTGAAAAAGCCCAAAGTCCAGCCCAAACGGAGTTCCCATCTCCCACAGAAAACTCTGCTCTGAACCGCTTGAAAACAGCTCGTTTGTAGTCCAGCCCTTCACTTCCTTTACTTTTGACGTCACAATGAAAACGTGTCATAAAGCTTGCCAAGCGGCTAGCGGGGTCAGGCACGCCCTCAAACCAAGCTAGTCTGAGCGGAGGCCCTTTGACTCGACTCGCCTTTGTCTGGTTTTCCATTGTACAAATGTTGCACCTGTACCTGCTTCCAGGTACTTTTTTTCGTATCACCTCACCTCCGTCGAGGTTCCAAGCGAGCTGAGGGATACTAAAATGTAACATGAAAACACGACAGACTGCTGACTGGTCAGAGAAAATATTCACTATTCACTGCATCATCACTGCCTGCGCCAGACAGACGCCAGCAACAGAAAGTTTTATATTTTACAGTTTCCGTATGGAATTTCATCACTAAATCCACTTCAGAGAAGTTTTGAGGTGAGGTGAGGCCGGCCAGCCGCCCGCTCACAGAGCCCTCTGCTCCCGCCGTCACACAGACCGCTGCAGCAACAATGGCAGAGGAAAACACAGCTGGAAGGTTTTCATACCGCTTATCTGTCTTTACATTCTGAGGAAGGTTGAAACATTTTAACTTAAAAAAGAGAAAGCTGTGTGGATCGCTGGTGTGTGTGTGTCGCTTTGAACATTACGTCGCGGCAGTTGTGTGTGGCGTCACTATGACGACAAGCTACGTACTATCTCTGGGTACTATCTGCAATGGAAAACGGAGCAGGGCCGAGCAGAGTCGAGTTTATCGATTTACGCTATGGTAGCATTTTTCGGCAAGGCAGCATAGATCGTCAGAACACCGGCAACAGTTCAACGTTTAGTCCTGATGGTAAGATGTGGAAAAATTATGTTGTGTGGTTGTGGACTTGTGAGTAACTTATACCATCTGCTAGGTTACGGTCGCAGTCTGAAGCGGCTTTGATTTGGATCACACTACCTTGTTTCTTACGACGCTTCTGATTGGCTAGTAGTCCTTACCTGGTATGAGTAACTCAGTATGAGAAAAATATGGTGTTTTTTGAAAATGAAACCATGTAAACCTGTTCTGGTACAACCCCTAAATAAGATTTTGAACCTGAAAATGATCAGAAAATGATCAAGTACAATCATATATCATGTCATGATCAACAGGCAACAAGAACCACATTTTCAAATCCTATGCACAACTTAGGTTACATTTAGTCCTGAAGGAAACCTTGGTTTTAAATTTTTTTATACACAGCCTTTTCATGCTTCCTTCGCTGACCTCCAGTCCATGTCGGACATATCTGCAGACCTGTGATGGCAAGATGTTGAACAGGGTGGGTGTGGAAATACTGGATGAATGGGACGGTCAGTCTTCCTTCCCAACATATTAGAGGTAATATCTAAACCTTGTCAGTGACGTCTTGCCTGCCTGTTTCTACCACATACAGTCACCCACTGGAATGGAACACAATCAAGTACACGGTAGAGAGTGAAGCTCCCATAATTGGAGTGCCCACTCCCCTGTGTGGATTAAAGAGGTATTTCATAATTTCAAAATCCCAGTGTTTGTCCCTAGTTCCAACCAGCATATCTTTTAAGTTTTTGTTTTTCCTAAGTGCCAAAATATGTACTACACCTTTGAGTGTGTGTTTAGGATGAAAGCTGGTTGTATGAAGTATAGATCCTTAGTATCTGTAGGTTCAAAGTAGACCAGTGTGAGTAATCTTTTTCGTTTACATTTTCAAAAATCACAGTGGTGCCTATGAAATTCACTCCACACGGGTCCAGATTATATTTAACTTTAATGGAAGGATGATGGTTATTTTGTATAGTTATGAATTCCTAAAAATTGTCCACACCATGCTTCCACTGGCTGGTTGCGTAAGAGGGTGCATACCAGGCATATAGTAGATATATAGTAGGTCAAAGGTCAGACTGTTTTGAACATTGGATGCCAACAAAGGACAGGGAGCAAGGGTAGTAGGAGGGAGAGGCAGGGGACGACAATGAGGACAAGAGTTGGAAGAAGAGGAGGAGGCGGAGGACAAGTTCGAGGAGGACGAGGGCAAAGAAGAGAAGGAAGGAGATCCATCTCTGATGACATCAAGGCCACACTTATTGATCATGTGATCGACCACAGGTTGACCATGAGAGAAGCTGGACTGAGAGTCCAACCCAACTTGAGTCGCCTCACAGTGGTGTCCATAATTCAAACCTTCAGTTTGCAACTATAAGACTATTTCAGCGTAACAGTATTGTACTGTAAAATACGTGTTACTGCATAGTAATGCATAAACATTTGTAGCTGTAAGCCATCCATTTACTGCACTGCAATGTATGAATGAGGTTGATTGTCATGCTGTACTAAAATAATTTGTAGGTTTTTACATCTATATTGCACACACTCACACTGTTGAATTCTCTACAGAGTGGAAATGGTTACACACCCCTACACACACAAATTTGTTCTTTATTCTAAAAATCATACTTTTGGTTCACATATGTTTATGGTTTTTGTTTCTTGTATGCTACTGTATACAACACTGTGCTACTGTTACAACTGTAATGTTTTGCCAAGTAAATATTTTCTGTTTAAACATTGCATTGGTGTTTACAGTGTACTTTTCAACCCCTCTCAGCTGATTACTTTCACTCTTGGACATTGTATGGAAATGTACATATAAGCCTATGAAAGACAAAAGAGCTTTAGATTTAGAACAACAGCGTGTGTATATAGTCTGGCAGAGGCAGATGGCCGCCCACGCTGAGCCACGGTTCTGCTCGAGGTGGGAACTGTTGGGTTTCTGTAAATATCACAGAGTATGGCCTAGACCTGCTCTTTATGAAAAGCGCTCAGAGATAACTGTTGTTGTGATTTGGCGTTATATAAATAAAACTGAAATTGAATTGAATAGTCTATCGAAAAATTTACTAATATGAAAAAAGAGTCATTTGTATGCAAGTGCTTCATTTTGGGATGTGTTCATGGCCTTTTGAATACAGTGTGTCATTTTGAAGGACATTGAAGGCAACTGAAGGCAGTTTTGGGAATTATGTAAAACCAATCAAATGTTTTCACATAATTGCAAGAAAACCAGCATCTGGTGGAATAGGTCGACTGTTCACCCCAGAGCAGGAGACCCAAGTTGTAAATATGGTCATTGTAAATAACTGCATTACACTAACAGGAATAACAGGAAAAGCCACAAGTGTTTTTAATTTTTATTATCAGTGCGTAGTTGCAGCTTCATGTGCTTACTCAAAGACATTTCTCTGTACTGTATTGATGCAAAAACACCATTTTAAAAAGAGTTTGAAGAGTTTTGCGATGTATAATGCTTTGTTTTTCTTGGTGTAAGGTCTTGTGATTAGTGTGTAGATTTTTGCAAAAATAGCCAATAGTTTCAAAAATTCTCCCAAAGCAATCAGAAAAAACAGTAAGTTAAAATGATAAGTAGTCAACAAATGGTAATACTTTCTATTTTTAAACAAAAAATAACTAAATGAAGTCTTGGAAATATAATGAAATGTGACAAAACACAGGGAAATGTGTTGTTTGCACCTTTTATTGAGAAATTTAAAATTATTACATTCCACATAGTATATATTAATTATTAATTATCTAGAAAACAGAAAAATATGTTGCAATAGAATTTTAAATATTATTCAAAAACCTACTATATAAAAATGGTGTACCAGGAAAAAACAGCTTGCAAAATACTTTGTTTGATGCCCTGAGGTGAGCACATAACATTTTCTGAAGGTTAATCCTCTTTCAATATGCTTACTATGAAAATAATCCTAAAAGGTTTGTTTTTAAAAAGGTTTCAGACCCACTTTCAACTCCATTCGTGAAAAGGCCTAATTATGTAACTAACATTAACGAAAATGTATTTTTTAAGCGCTTCTATATTTTTTTTCCCCACAGATATCAGCTACTTAAAGTATTTGGAAAAACATAAATGGAGCACGTTCAGAGATGACACTAAAGAGGCACCTATTGCATTATTTGTAAGTAAACAAGGAAAGCACATTTTGGGAGGAATAAATTGATGAAAATGGCTTGTAGCACTGCATATTGTACATATATGTGTCCTATGGTAAATTGACTACAATGTGAAAAAAGAAAAAGTGTTTTTTTACCGGTTCAAAAGTAAAATGTAATATTTTTTGTATTAATTTTTTATTTATTTAATTAAGCACACAAATAGGCTCATTGCCTACGCTCATAATTATTCTCTAAAGAAGTTGTTCTACATTGAAAGGACGGTATCAACTAAATAAAAGTAAAGAAAACTGTAACTTGACCCTGGTATTGTGAAAGCAAAGGTCACTGGGAAAATCATTCTGGGCCTCAAACCAAGAAGTCTATCTGCTGGTCCACAGTACTACAGGACAAGCTTACTACATGACTTGCCCTCTAAATTGTCGTTTGCACCAGTGGTTCTCAAATCTTTTCACATCAATGTCCTTTAAACTGACACAAATCAGACCATGGACCCCCATGGGGGCCCCATTTTTGATTTTGAGATATTTTATTACAGAAAGTGTATGAAACCCATGACCAAAATAGTCATACTGTCTGTTATTACACTAGTTATAGATGGAACTATTGTGAAAATAAATTATTCCCCCTTTTTGCTGGAGATGCTGCAACCACCTCAAGGACCTCTTGAGGTGGTTGCAGAGAACCACTGGTTTGTATAGTTTAGGCACAAAAACGACTTGGTTATGTTCAGGAAAACATCATGGTTTGGGTTGAAATAAACACGTTAATCCAGGAGGTTATCTCAGGGGGCGTGTCTTGTAGTGAAGTGGGCGTGTCGTGCAGCGCAGATGGACGCTTCTCCCTAGAAGAGTAGGTTAATGGTATTGCCATGGCAACGACTAGAGCGTCAACATGTCCGGAGGAGCGACACGTCGTGAAAAGAAAGAGCTACCAAAAGTAAAGGACAACAAGCTTCAGGTTGTAACTGATAATTTGCAATTCTCAGTAAAACCCCTGTTTGTCGTGGTACGTGTTTGTTTATTTGCTTATTTATTTATTATAACTAGAATTTTTCTTCTTCTTTCTCCTCGTTAGAAAGAGGAAGCTGTCTTCCTCCAGTGGGAAGCGATGACACAGCAACAAATCCAAGACCTGCTGAATAAAACAGGGGATGAAGTTCAGTCGTAAGTAGCTTTAATCCCCTACATACAGACTATGGTCCCATAGCACTGCCTCACAACCAGCTAACTTAACCAGCTTAGTTACAAATGCGCTAAACGTGACTGCTCTAAAGTGAACTAAATGAGGGCGAGTTTAACCGCATAAAATGTCACGGTCTGTGTCAAGGAATGACTGTTAAAGTTGTGATATCAGAATAATACGAGTATATTCGTAACTGAATGTGGAATAAATTATGAACGAATGAATTATGAAACGTACAGCCCTTCTTGTTGTTTAACTGTTATCAGCTGTAACGTTATATTATCAGTTGTCCTTGATTGTTTTTAACCAATGTGGAGAAACCGAAGAAGCTAGTTCTAGGTAGGTTACCATGTTAAGCGTGGTTTTGATGATTTGCCGGTCAAGTTAAAGGTTTTAACTGAGATATTTTGGTTTTTGAGATGTCTAGGTTAACATTACATAAGCTGACTATCATGGATGTAGCCAGGAACAGGAACAACGAAGTCAAGGAGTCCTTGTCATGTCATGAGACCTTTTTGGTTTATCAAAAATATACATTTTTCCACATTTTATTAACTCAGTTAACTATTGACATATACAGTAGGCCTACTCCTATTTCTCAACATGAAGGCCAGATGGTGAAGCATATGGTTCTCTATAGTGCCAGGAATTAATAATGTGGACATCTTTCATTATTTATCATTGTTGAGGGCAAAAAGTATCAAACTTAAACATGTTGAGACTACAACCACTGGAATCAGCATTGAAATACCCACTGTGTCTAAGTTTTTATTGTAGAATGTAAACTCTCCAGTAAAATCAAGCAGTGGACATAATACTGCAATAATTAGTGCACTGAAATTGTATTTATCCAGATCTGATCTGTTGTCTGTAGGGAAATGAAGGACATTCTGGGCTTCAGGAACCATCAGACGTGTATGAAGGAATCTGCACTGCTGGATTTCTATGTCTGTGGTTTCTGGTGGGCAAAAGAGGCCAACTTCACCCCCCGACAGACCTCCTTCCTCATGGCTATACTGCACATGCTGTTGGATAACATAATAGGTGAAAAATCTACATATGAATACTACTGTAAATCCAGGTCCATGTGAGCCCAGCAGGGTTAGTGATGTGCTGGCATAGAACTGTGTCCATCCATTTGCTATATGCTGACCCCATGTATGAGATCTAAATTTACAGATGAGTGAGAAATTAAAGTCAGGCCTCCAGAACAGCTTGCCAAGTCTATAGAAATCTATTGAAGGGATGAACACCATTCCTCCACAAGATATTCGATCATTTACATATACCCTCTTTATTTAATCTAGTAATATCATTTAGGTCAAGAGGGATCTGAGTACAGCAGATATATGGCATCAGACAGTCACAGACATCACTAAATAGGTTTAAAGATAGAAGTTTATGTTATACTGACTCTTATGGTATTATGGAGATGGTGGTGGAGAGCATTTACTTACATATTGGTCCAAAATCTCCATAAATGTTCAACTGGGTATAGATCTGGTGGCTGTAAAGGCCGTAGCATTTCATTCACACCATTTTAAGGCTGTCCAGCACAAAATCACAACTAACTACAGCCTCAAATTGCTGCAGATTTTACATGGCAGGAAGTGAATTGAAGTGAATACATAACTATTATTGCAGTAAAATGTGAATTCAAAAATGTATCAGAATGACAGCAGTAGTTTGTGCTTTATTGTCATATTCCAGAGAAACGGATGGTTTTAGTGGAGAACTTGATGGAGTTTGCGAAGGCCTTAGGTGCTGCCTGCCAGTGCTCGTCTTCAGAGGAAGACACAACTTCACTTCTAGACAAAGAAGAAGCCATGGCACTCATAAGTTACATCAGAAACAGGTAAGACTTCACTGTTAAAAAATCAAGATATGGATCTTTTTTCAAGCTCTGTGTACAACCCGTTCAGAGACGCCTGAAAGGTTACAAATGCATACCTACTGTAAATCCCAGCCAACATGTCCATGTGGGCCCAGCATGAGTTGGAGTTATGCCATAAAATTGTGTCCATCTATTTGCTCTATGCTGGCCTCATGTTTGTTACGGTAGTGTAGAACCAATTTATTCCTACCAGAGTTAACAACACATATGAAACATGGGTCCTGGTTCTGCACGTAGGGCTAGTGATAGTAAGTGGTCACAAAAACAGGTCCTAAGAATTACTGCTTGCTTGGGATCCACATGTAACCCACATGGGCCTTACTTGCAACACATGTGAGATACAGTACTGTTATATAGAGGTGCCAGACTCTTCTTAAAGCTAGAATATCACTTAAGAGTATGATGGCAGCAAATGCTGCATGATGTAGTGTAAAAGCGCTTTGAGTGGTCGAAAAGACTAGAAAGGCGCTACACAAGTACGGAGCATTTACAAATGCGTGTAGGGCAGAATTAGGGTGGTTTCCACTGATAATAGATGCCAAAAAAAAGAGCACTAAACTTTTCTGATGCACCTCAGATCAGGTCCCCAAGACTCCATCCAATTCAAGGCTCTTAAAACCCAAGAGCTGAACCTGGAAAAGAGTCCCTAAAAGAGTCCCCAATGGCTGGATATCTCTCTGCTGTCAGAGATATCAAGCAAAGGCAGCCTTACCAAGTAGACTCAATGACCCTGGCAATTGAAAAAGGAAGCTATAAAAAGTCCTGGTTACCTAAAGAATACAGAGTTTGTGAGCACTGTACGACAGGTGAGGTGGAAACAGAGACACATTTTCTCCTGAAATGTGATACATATGGAAGCCTTGAAGATAACTTTAAAATGAAAGAGGTGGTATTCTGCTTTTTCCCTCTCCTTTATTGCGTTATATATCTTTTTTGTGCATGTAACAGGTTTGCAAAGTGAAAAAGCCCAAAGTCCAGCCCAAAGGGAATTCCCATCTCCCACAGAAAACTCTGCTCTGAACTGCCTGAAAACAGCTCGTTTGTAGTCCAGCCGCTTCCCTAAAGCTAAATGCGCCTCATATAATGCTCGCCAAGCAGCTAGTCTGACACGCCCTCAAAAAGACCGGTGGAAAAACAGTGAGCTGCAGCACACCTCTCCTCTCCCTTCCAAACACTAGCTACCCTCCAGGCAGTCAGTGGACATAAAGTTGTTCCTGTGATGTAGAGACAGAGCTCAGTTAAAACTTTATGGATGAAAGATACTTTTGTTACAGATTAATAACTCACCACTCTGAAACTCTTGCTCCAGTCCATGTTGCCAAGCTGGTCGGCAACATGTACAGCTGAACCCAAGCTGTGTTACCAGCTTCTCATTGGCCCGTCCTTCTCTGCTTCTGATTAGCTAGTAGTCCTTAACTAGGATCTGCGCATGTGCAACTCCCAACAAAGATCATGTAGAGACAAGATGTATCACTCCACAGCTAAAACGAAGCCTTCAACACAGGGTGAAAAGAGGAGCTGCAGCAATGTGCAGTATGACAAAAATATGGTGTTTTTTGAAAATGAAACCATGTAAACCTGTTCTGGTACAACCCCTAAATAAGATTATGAACCTGAAAATGAGCATAATACCACCTCTTTAAGAATAATCCTAGGAGAAGGAATACGGAAACCTTACCGGCAAGTATGTGTCCCTGCTGTGTCTCAACCTGAGGGACAGCGAGTGACTCAGCCAACTGTTGCACTTAACGTTCACTGCATGGCAGGTTAAATCTTGTTCACTTTCATTTGTAGTTTACATCAGTGGCTCTCAAAGTGGAGTCCGGGGGTCCTTGAGAGGGTTCCAGGAGGTCCCCGGCTAAAAAGGGGAATCATTTATTTTAACTAAATGAGTTTCATATATTTTCTGTAATAAAACATCTAAAACCCAATATCCTATCAGATGGTCGATCCTGGGACAAAATCTTTCAAATCAAATTGGGTTCCGTGGTCTAATTTCTGTCAGTTAAGGGGTCCTTAAAAAGATTTAGAACCACTGGTTTACGTTGTATCTATATTTGTTATTTTTGTCATAACTGCTGAATTGAATGGTTTTGGATTGGATTAATCTTGTTATGTCTTTTGATTTTATAACTGCTTTGGCAACATTGTTTAAATGAAACATTAATGCTAATCAAGCACACTGAACTGAACATCAGAAAACAGTGTAAGCACCATTTTAATGCTGTAGCTGGTCTGGTTGGACTCATTAGTACTACTTTATTTGTATATTATATGTGGGGTACACAAATTCTTGTGTTATTTAAGATACACTATATGGCCAAAAGTTTTGGGTTGCCTACCTTTACACGCACATGAAGGTTAATGACATCCCATTCTTAATCCATAGGGTTTAATATGGAGTTATCCCACTCTTTGCAGCTATAACAGCTTCAACTCTTTTGGGAAGGCTGTCCACAAGGTTTAGGAGTGTGTTCATGGGAATTTTTGACCATTCTTCTAGAACCGCATTTGTGAGGTCAGGCATGTTGGACGAGAAGGCCTGGCTCATAGTCTCTGCTCTAATTCATCCCAAAGGTGTTCTATCAGGTTGGAGTCAGGACTCTGAGCAGGCCAGTTAAGTTCTCCACACCAAACTCACTCATCCATGTCTTTATGGACCTTGCTTTGTGCACTGGTGCGCAGTGATGTTGGAACAGGAAGGGGCCATCACCAAACTGTTTCCACAAAGTTGGGAGCATGAAATTGTCCAAAATGTCTTGGTATGCTGAAGCATTAACAGTTCCTTTCACTGGAACTAAGGGGCCACGCCCACCCCCTGAAAAACAACCCCACACCATAATCCAAATGGCAGTAGCGGCCAGTTTCACTTTGCTGTGCTGCTTCAACAGATGCTTCAATAAATCAGATTTAGAATTGTTCGTGGTTGAAAGCTTCTCGCTGGTCACACAAAGTTTCCAACGGACGACAATGTTTTTTGCATCTTAGACTGTGACACAATAATGGTGATACTTACTGCTGTGGAAAGAACACCTCTTTCCCTCGTTCTCCATTCTTGCTGTAGCTTGTTGGATAACAGCTGACTTAAACAACATATGATTGGTGCTGCTGACCTGCTGAGCAGTCACGCATTGACGCCAAGGATGGTATTACTTGGAAAAGTAATCCAATACACTACTAGTTACTGGGAAAAGAAATATTATTACAGTAACATGCGTGTTACTGCCCAACACAGCCGGTACCCATGGAAGTGATTGGAACACCTGAATTCAGTAATTCAGAGGGGTGTCCTACAACATATAATATATATAGTGTATATAAAATAGCTCTGTACTTTTGTAATCTGTATTGGAGGTTTTTAATGATTAAACTGAAACTGTTTATCTCTCGGCTGCAGTCTGTTTCAAAAATACAGACTCTATGAGTTTGTCTTCACCACACCCAGAGAGGAGCTACTGACAGGCACGGAGGTGAGCTGCTTGTGACGTCCGTCCGTCCGTCTGTCTGTGCGTTCATGTCTATACATTTAAACAATATGTGACACATGCCGTTTTCCAGAGGACGATTGAGATGTTCAGCTGCCAGGATGCCCTCACTCCACTGGAGGAAAGCATTTCCACTCAGCTCTACTTCCAATAAAGAGCTCTGCCTGGTAAACAGGTGATGATGGACAGCATCAGTGTGGGCTGTGACTTGTGATTCCTTTGTTGTCCCAAGTAGGGTGTTGTCTTTCTGTAGAATCAGAGTATATAAGCAGTCCATATTTCATCTTTGTTTCTGTACTATTGACACAATAGATTTATTTTTAAGCACAATCTCCTTATTTGCACTACAGAAAGAAAACAAAACAAACAAGAATTAGTTTACTCAGATACTTAAAAAAAAAAAAAACAAGATAGATAAACAGAGCATACCTGGCTGGAAAAGTTAGTCAGATAACGCAGGATAGTTTATTCTTATGTAGTAATGGCACCTAATGGAAAATATTGTCAAATTGACCAAAAAAGCTTTTCTATTTGCCATTTTGATGTTTCCCTTTTCTGTTTATAATTCTTATCTGGATGTTGTATTTCACATTAAGTTCAACCTGGAATTTGATTGCTTATGTCAACTAAAAATCAATGCAACAAGATTTGTTCCTTCCTTCTGATGGATGAAAAGACTGTAACCGGAATGATTCTCAGTTGTGGCAACCAGATCATATAAGGTTTTTCCTATATTATTATATGAAAACAAACCTATTCTAACTGCTTACCCTTAGAGGGAGTGGGTTACACTAGTACATCACGGGGCTGACATCTAGACACAGATGACTATTCATGGTAACATCTATGGGCCAATTAACTTAACCCTAGTATGCATGTCTTTGAACTGTGGAACTAAGCAGGAATACACACAGAAAGGCCCCAGCCATCACTGTGCACACCTACACATCAGTGTCACCAGCTTGTCAACACAGTGGCTTCCTTAGAATACACTGCATTTAAGATAGACTGAACAAGGGCTATGAGACGGAGCCTTGGTTTTCCACTGCCAGTCTTATATTTTATGTAGAAACAGATATTTCTCAGACATCTTTGCAAAATAAAATGATTACAAAACGTAGACAGAATTTAATAGCTTTAAGGAACAAGAGTGTGCCTTGCTCAATGCACTGTGTCCACCAAAAAATTGTGACATGGTATTAAGGACAGAATGTAGACAGTGACAGTGGTACCTTGTGAATCATCCTTTACATGTAATACCACAATGACAAGTAGAGCTGGCTTTGGTTACAAATACAGTGCCGATAAGATACAGAGAAAATCTACATGTATTTGATACTGGATAGACTCCACCTGTTTAAGGGTCTGATCAGACAGAGCGTGTTTTGCAGGTTGAGAAAATCTTTTTTTTAATTACCAGGGAACCACCAAAGTCATTAGCCCAACTATTATTTTGCTGTGTAGTCAATTAACGGAGATGTACCTTTTCATAAAAAAAATTAAATGCTGTAAAGTAAGAATGCTTTCAAAAATAGATGTTAACAGATTATATTTATCAAACAACAATATGCAAAGTGAGTGAACAGAAGAAAATCTAAATCATATCATAAATTGGAGGTTGAAACACAATCATTAACTGAAACAGAAACAACTGTGTAGGAGGAATACAACTACGGGTGGGAATTCACGATTAGATTACGATTCAGAGGGCTGCGATGCTATTATAAAATGATTCTCGATGCGTAGTTTTTTAGGATCTGAAAACTGAAATTATCAGGATGTACAGTGTCTGTACAGGACAGAGCTGTACACCAGTTTAGTCTAAGCTTGTACCTGATATTCTCAACCCTTAACAAGTAGATAAGTTAGTTCTGACATGCAGCTGAGCTAATTCATATTACTTTGTTACTAATTTAGCTAACGTCGGCAAGCAAAATTACTTCTCAAACAATGAATCGATGAAATAATCTGTAGAATACTAACATCCGCTAATATTCACCGTTATGTTCTGCCGCTCTCTTTCTCTCATTCGCTCGGCATCACACACACAGGATACACGGGGCGCTGCCAAGCGTTGAGCACATTGTGCGAAATCAATTTTTTCTCCCACCCCTAAATACAACTGGGTGAGGAACAGCAAACTCAGCTAACAATGTGAGGTTGCTGAAGACAGTCTACTATCTAGAGAAGTCTGGTCAGAAGTGGCCTTCATGGATGACTTGCGACCAAAAAGCCTTCGACATGGAAACGAGGCTCATCTAAGCACGGAAATGGGGTGCAGAAAAATAGCAGCAGGTGCTCTGAACTGATGAGTCAAAATTTTAAATATTTGGCTGCAGCAGAAGGCAGGTTGTTTGCCGGAGGGCTGGAGAGCAGCACAGGAATGAGTGTCTGAAGGCAACAGTGAAGCATGGTGGAGGTTCCTTTCAAGTTTGGGGCTGCATTTCTGCAAACGGAGTTGGGGATTTCAGCAGAATTAATAGTTTCCTCAATGCTTTGAAGTACAGGCAGATAATTATAATCATACTATACCGTTAGGGAGGCATCTGATTGGCCCCAAATGAATTCTGTAGCATGAAAACAACCCCAAACATACAGCAAAAATCATTAAGAACTATCTTCAGCGTAAAGAATAACAAGGAGTCCTGAAAGTGATGGTATGGCCCTGACAGAGCCCCAATCCCACCATAGTCTTTCTTACTTTACAGCTTTTATTATATATATTTAAATTAATATATGCAGGGGGCACTTGCTGTGGGTGTGATTTGATGGGACCCTCAGAAAGAGGAGAAATCACAGCTGAATTCATCAAGATTACCACAGCTGGCCCAGGAGCTTCATCTGGATGATGATCAGTTCAACGCTTAGCCCTAAAATCCACTGACTTCGGCTATGGCGCATTACGGCTGTGCCGCGGTTTCCGGGGCCATTATAGTCAATGCTCGTGAGTCCACCAGCACATCCCAGAAGCGTTCCAGAAGCGGCTCTCCACTACGCTCCTCATAGAATAGGTAGCACGTCTATTTCTGCCGCAAGCCACGCCAAGCAGCACATAGCAGTTCATACCAAGCAGGAAGTTAGACACAGAACGGCAGAGAGAATCCGGTCAATTTTCAAAATAAAATACCCTGTGGAGACTCCCGAACTAAAAAAAACAATAAACACGGTTACATTAAAGCAAGAAATTTTTCTGAATTCTGAAATGTGTTCGGGGTTTACGATGAAGATGGTAGGGTAGGGGGCAAAAGCGTGACTTTGTGTTGAAACCTGACGGGGACATAGGGACTCAGATTACCCTGCTGGAAAGTAGCAGGAAGTGCCAGTCCCCTTTCTTTCGTGTATACACAGATACCGAGCCACCAATTGTGCAGAGGAAGACTAGCGGACACACACACACACGCAACAGTTAAAAAATATGCAAGAATATTTATATATTATCCAATACAAAAACGCCTTGCGCCGGAATTCCAGCACAGTGCCGGAGAACTTTAAGCCCTGCGGTTAAAACGGACACAAAAAGAAATCATTTAACTACGTAGCCTACATAATCACAGTAGAAGCACAAAATGCAAACACTGATTACCAAATTAACAAAATCTAAACATGTCAGCAAAATCAGGCAGACAAAACTGATTCTGAAATGCTCCCTGTGGGAAATGCAGCCTGAAGTTGACGGAATGAAACAGGGTCACATAGAGCTGTGAAGAAGGTAGTAGAAGCACAAAAATGACAAATTAATAACAAGTCAAAAACGTGAAGCAGGCTGCACGCTCCGCTGCTGAGACGCTTCCAGTGGACTTTGACATCGGGCTATGGACGCATCAAACCCCTAAAGTGCCGTAGCCGGAGTCAGTGGATTCCCAGAGTTATTTTAGGATGAGTCGGGGGGCTGTTTGACAATCTGCGATCAATGGTCGGACCTAGCATCACAAAAATGACCAACAACTAAAATAAGTCTGTTGGTCCAGCAGAGTGGCTGAGCATTTATTTTTGCTATAGGCCCAGCCTACTGTTTATCTAACAACTACCTGTAGTTTGTTCTCCACTAGTGTCATGCAATTGGACAATGGGGAAATACGCCCATGACATCGAGAGTTCCAAGCGTCTAAAAACGCTACACACTACACAGTGCACAAAATGCTTATAGAAAACTGGAAAAAGACACCTCTCACTGCAAAAAACACACTCTGTCTGAACGCTACTTGAGAATATTGTGTGATACAATAAAAAGTTTCAGAAGAGCTACGAATGAACCTTATGGTGACATTGTTTGATAAAATGGATTTTAAATCCTAACCCTATGATCAAAGAGATCTGTCTGACCAGACAAACAACTCAAGCTTTCAGCACTTCACTTGCTACAGATACATTTCACTCACAACCAAACAAGTACTCAAATGTGTTAACCAGTCTTCAGACAAAGCTGCAATCTACATGTGGCTTTGCATGTGACAGTTTAAAGATGATTTCTGATCAAAGCTACAGCTGCACTCTTGGCAATGATACGGTTTCTCTACTGAATGTTTCCTCATGTGAACCACCAGGTTGCCTTTCTGTGCAAAGGATTTGTGACACTCTTGGCACCGATAAGGTCTCTCTCCTGTGTGTATCCTTGTATGATTGATCAGGTCTGACTTCTGACAGAAGTTTCTTCCACAAAACTGGCACTGATACGGTTTGTCCTCTGTGTGGATCTTTAAGTGTCTTATTAAAGTCTTAGTCAGGGAGAAACATTTTGTGCAACAAGGACACTTGTAGGGTTTCTGTGACGTTCCTGCTTCAAACTGAACAATGAGGTCCGCGGACTTCCCTGAAGGTCTTCTTGGCAGGATATTTTTTATGTTGAGATGATTGGGGTCTGTCTCACCTTCACACTGTTCACATGGGTTCACTGAAAGGAGCTGTTGATCATCTGTGGTGCTGTCTGATACTCCACCGTCAGTTCCAGCTGGGTCAGTTTTGATGTAATCAACTAGAACTGCAGATGCAGAGTCTTTATCTATATCAGCAACAGTCTGGATTTGGTAAAGACACAAGGGCTGCAGAGACTCCTGATCAAACTCATTTTTATCATAGGGAGTGATAGTAAGTGGAAATGTCTTAATGCCTGATTCATCCTGTCTGGAATCCAGCACTTCTTCAATCTTACTGGCAGGTGTCATTGATTTGAGGGGAGTGTCTGCATCCATCTTTTCGCTAAAACACTGATATGGTTTCTCCTCAGTGTGTTTTTGTCTGTGAATAAGCAGACTGTCTGTCTGGTCAAAGCTTCGGTCACAGTCTTGGCACTTGTATGATTTGGCACCTTTGTGTGTCCTGGTGTGAATGATGAATTCAGACTTTTGGCAGAAGTAGCGGTCACAGAACTGACACTGGTACGATGATGATTTGTCTTCCGGATGCCTTTTGAGGTGTCGTACCATCGTCTTTTTGGAGGAAAAATCGCTTAAGCAAACAGGACATTTGAATGGTTTCTTCACCTGGAGGATTTTCAAAGGCTTGTTCAGGTCACACTCCTGCTTCACATCACCATCTTCAATATCAATCAGTATCTGCTCATCCCTTTGATCAGGAGAGGAGTCAGGATGAGCGTTGTTTATCTTGGGATAGGCTTCTGTTGGCTCTGAACTGGTGTGTTCTGGTTCCTCCCAGCACACACGGACGTTCACACTGGCAGCTGGCTGCTGCTGACCAGACTGCAACTTCACATCTGTGGCAGAAATCTGGACAGAGTCTGAAGCAAAGGAGAGGACAATATTTATATAGTCTATAAATTGATTCCAAACATTCAAAAGTTAGATTGTATCTATTTAATTTTAAGGGCTGCTTTGTGAAATTTAAACTGCAACACACACTGACGGCATATAACACATTCACCTCCCAGAAGTGTTTCCGTCTGTCTGTACATTGTATCTGGTGTGTGCCAGGAGTGTTTCTATCAATTACAAGCTCTGGGGCTTAGCCCTTTAGCAGTTCATTTGAAATTAAAGTGATTATAGCGAATGACTAATATTTTGATAAGAGGAAGTTGTGTATTCATACTCACTTCTGGCCATCAGAAGAAATCAGTGTTCACATTAAATAATTTAACTCACTTAACGTGAGCACTACCTAGGGAGCACCGCTGTTGGAAAAGGGAAACTTGATAGCCAATTCATTAATTTTGTGTCGATCTGCTGGAGGATAGAGTCCTTGAGTAGGTGACCATATATTTCACATTATATTTCATTGATTAAACTATAAACTAGACACACAGAAAACTAACTACACACATGACTAATAACTAAACAACAAATGAATAAACAAATTTAACCATGAATAATTATGAATGTGAACAAATGCAATGAATGCAGGGATGAATGACTAATAAAGGCCTGAATTAAATTTTGAACGCAGCCCAAACAATTAATGACTGAATAGCAGTGTGCACCAGGTAAAGCAGTGGATGATGGTTAGATGTTTTAAATTATGGAAACAGGAGACAGTGGAGGAACCTTCACATTAATCAGTGAAATCCTGTTAATAATGCAGCTACTGAGAGGTTCCTGGGAAGAATTAGTGAAATACTTTGATGCTGTATCATGATGAGGCCTATACTGAAGGGAGATTCAAGGCATCATATGTTTCTCTCCTTCTCGCGCGGGGATCCCAACAGCGCAGACATTTTTGGGCACTTTTGGTCCTACATGGCGATTCTGGAGTAGGTGTGCAGGATACAGGAAATATCTGGTTTGTCGAATTAGAAATGCAGGCGTTGATCAGAGCTATTCTGGAGTGGGATTAATTCTATTTAGCTTTTCTCTCATAGCAACAGCGGCACATGCAGATGTGCCTTCAAACTTCGTTACACTTGTTATAATAGGTTTGGGGTTTTTTCAGCTTCACTGCTGAAGCATCATTGAATGATGTCACTTCATTCCTTCATATAAAGAAGTTGAACTTAACATTCTCTTAATATGATTAATCAACCATAAATTACTTCATTTATCTTGCATATTCTGCATGGCAAAGTCATTTATCTGCAGTCTTTTAGCCAGAGTCCCTGATGAAGTCCGGATCATGGGATACTGGTTTGTGAGGGTAATAAATTAATAAACTGGCTTAGGTTCACCCCCCACTGGCACTCAACATTCCTTTATTAATATGGTCATACACTGTGACTTGGATGACAGACAACCTAGACATGATTTCCTTTATAGAAGCAAACTTCTGAAGAACTGACCTTCACTATGTGACTTGGCAACATCCAGCAGTCTGCGGTGGCTGTCCACCACCCACTTTGAACAGGAAATTTCCTCTTCATAGTCTAAAAGGGTTCTTTGTACAATCTTGAAGATCTCCTCGGCGGCTGCAGACAAGCACTCACTGACCAGTGCTCTCAGCAGCTCCATCTTTGCTGTCTTCACCATGCTGAGGTGTTCTCCACAGCGAGAGTCCCTTTGTCACCCCTGATCGCTCCACAGCTACACCTCAACTTTCTGTGTCCTCAGATCCCACCTTGCTCTGAACATGTCTGCAAACACAACATAATGTTCTACTGGCAAGAATCAGGAGAAGACATTTAACAGTAATATTGTGGTTTATTCAGATGAATGAAAGATGATTCAAATCTGAGGGCAACACGTGTATAAGAATAAATGAATAAAGCTTTCACAAGTGCCTTTGATATAGTGATCATTTAAAATGAGGTCCACTTGAGACAGAAGAAGCAGCAGTATGAAAGATTCTGGATCTTTTTGATCATCTCAAAGAAGAAAAATGCAGCTGCAGTGTGTATGCACAGGTCAGGCAGCACTGCTAACGAAAATTTGGGAAATAATTCATTTAAGAATGGAAATATGTACAAAAAGCGTATATTAGTATAAAGTAGAGGAACTGATAAACGCACAGCGAGATAGAATTTAAGTTTGGAAAGATTTAATGCCTATAAAAATACATATTGTATGGCTTGATGAGGGTTCTTCCTATTTTTTCCTGATTACCATGAGGAAAAGGAGCTTCTGTATCTTAAAACATGTTTTAAATAGTGCTAGGCCGTCAAACAATGCATATTAGGAAGATGATTTTTTTTTTTTTTTTTTACACACCCAAAACAGATCTTTGGGTGTGTAACATGGTGTAAAATGATTTGTTGACTGATTAGTTGATTTTGATAATCATGCAAAAATGTTCATATTTAGGCTACCTGGTTCCATCTTCTCAAGTGTTATTTTTTGCTGGTTTTGTTCTATGATAGTGAAGGGAGGATCTTTTTTAAGATGTTTAGGACAAACACTCAGGTGAAACAAGCTATTTGGGCTCTGGGCAACTGATATGGGCATTTTTCACTTTTTCTAACAATTGCAGTTAGTGGTGGCCCTAAAAACAACAACACACATTTTGCAGTTTGTTGTGCTGCATTTTTTATTGTGTTTGTCTGCCATTCGGCAACAAGTTGCAAAAAACAAGTGGGATATTGGTAAAAATTCTAGAATGATGTGTTGCCCTTGCATGACTACAAATTGATCTGAATGTATATTATTAGATGTATGTATGCAAAATATGAAGCTGTGATGAAGCTGACTCAGTTATTTTTGAGTCTAAAATTCATGCTGCTTTTATTAGATTACAAACTGAACACCATGATTTGACTCAGGTCGAAGTCTCAGACTAGTACTGTTTAAGGTATTAATGAAAATGAGTATTCCATTAACGTTAGCAGAGAGAACCTGCTATCACTCCCAAAAAGACTGACAGGTTTTCATATATGAAGGTATCTGTGTGTCTTATTAAGCTCTCTGGCCATCATGCTGGACATAGCTGTCACCAATGATCCACACTGCAACTATGGGTGTAAAATAGTACATGAATAACTTAACTTAGCTCGTCATGTCTGAGTGCACAAATGCACTGCCAGTCAAGCTTCATGCCAAGACGGCTAACGTTAGCTAACTGTTATTCATGTCATTCTAAAAAAGGAGACAGTGATAGACTCTGTGACCTTGCCAACAGTAAATATAAATGATTATAAATGATTATAAATGATCATTAAATCATGCCATACTACATTTAAAAAGCATTTCTATTGAAATGAGCGACACATCAACTTACCTCCCTCTAGCCTGTACCATAGACTGTATATAACTGTACACGCTACAGCTCCGTCTCCAGAAAGTGGACAGAGTCGTCGGAGCGAGGGGATTGTAGGCGTGGCCATGTGTTCGATGCAAACCCATGATTGGTCAGTCAAACCATCAATAGAATCTCTTATTTAGACCTTTTTTGACTCGCAAAACTATTTAACTTGCAAAACTATTTAACTTGCAAAACTATTTAACTTGCAAGGAAATCTTTTAAACTTGCCATCAATAAGGACAAATTAGCAATGAAAACTTTTTGTGACACAAAAAAAGGCCTGTTTATTTTTAATTCCAAACTTAATTTTTGATTGCAGTGCGATAAATATGCTCTCAAAACATGCTTGCATTAAAAAGACACAAAAATACCTTCATACATACACAGGTCAAAAGACAATAACTAAATCCACTGTAAATTAAGATTTAACGTTACTGGTGAGAAATTCTCAAGGTTTTCAGGTTGTGGAAAATGCTTGTTTAATAAAATACTAAATACATGCATATACATATTGTTTTAACACGTTAGAAATGTCTTTATTCCACTTGTAGTTCTTGGTGCACTGTATTAAGCGCATACCGCTTTAACCAGTAACGTTACTCTTAATGTTCGTTTATTGGCAGCAAATAAATCAATAAAGCGCAGGAACTTTTAATGAAGTTTGACGTTGTTAGCCGTTAACACCATCTCTATAGCTAACGTTACATGTCAGATATAATTTAGCTAACGTTACCCCAAACAGATAACGTAACATGACCTGAACAAACACTGGGCTGTTAACGTACAATCGTCTATCAAAATAATGACATAAAAGACAAATACTTACCCTGCTAACAGTTCCTCTTTTTCAGTCACTGTTGCATTAGCAGTTAGCTTCAGCTGAGTAGCTGGCTGGGCTACCAGTTCATACAAATAAGAGCTTGTGAGAAACACAAACTGGTAACGTTATTGGTGACTTCAGAACACAAGCTGCGGACTGCTATTACTGGCTCACTGAGCGCAGGGTGCTTGCCAAGAATCGGAAGCTCCAGAGCAAACTAGCTTTACGTTGTTTATTTAGTGTCCGGGGTCAACTTCTTCTTCTTCTTCTTTCCGTCTTATGGCGGGTGGCAACCAGCGTTAAGGTGCATTACTGCCACCCATATTTTGGAGTGTGAACCAGAATGATTTATTTCCTTAACCAAACAAACAAAACATAACAACAACAATAATAATAATAATAATAAATTCTCTGAACACTAAATTCTTTTAGTTTTTCCAGGTTCTTTCAAATAAATGGAATAATTTGCCTAACCCAATGGCACAAATACATTCTTTAGATTCAGTTCTTCCACTCCAGCTTCCTGAATTCCCATGAAACAGAATGCAGAATGCTATTTGCTTCCACGTATGTATGTGTTTCCTGTAAAAACACAAAGCTAGGTACAAGGTAGGCTACAAGGCAAATTTAATCATCATATTACAACAGTGTATTACACCATATTTGTAGTTCCTTTCTGCTACAAAGCAGACAATGTATACAAAAGTTATAAAATGGGAAACCGAAAACTATATTGCATGGAACATTGCTGAGGATAAATTTGAATTTAAGCGTCTCAGAGCTTGGGGGGGAAGGCTGCTCTGCAGTCTGGTCAGTGACAGCAGATGCTTCTGGATCTCATGGCTCTTGGGGGCGCCTGTGGCTCGCGTGGTGGGGTGGCCATCCACTTGTCAGAAGGTCAGTGAGTCAATCCCTAAGCAAGATGCTGAACCCCAAAGTGTTCCCAATGGCTGTGTAAATGTGTATTTCTGTTTCTCATGGCACTGGCTCAGGGGATAGAGCGCGTTGACCGTTAGGCGGTTCAATCCCCGCCTCCTTGAAGTGTCCTTGGGCAAGATACTGAACCTCGAATTGCCCCTGGTGGCTGTTCCACCAGTGTGTGATGTGTGTGAATGTTAGTTTCTGTTGGAGCACTTAGGCTCAGTGTATGATGTGTGTGAATGGTGAATGGCAGATGTAGTGTAAAAGAGCTTTGAGAGGTCGAAAAGACTAGAAATATAGATATAATTTAAATATAAAAATAAGGATGCACCTTAGTGTATGAATGTGTAAAAGTACTTTGAGTGGAAAGGCGGTAGAGCGCAAGTGGCAGATGGCAGCAGGGTGAACAGGCTGTGGCTGGGCTGGGTGCTCAACTCACCGATATCACTAATGCTCGGTAAACGGGTAACAATGATCTTCTGAGCGGTTTAATCCTCACCCGCAGAGCCCTCCGGTCCTGGGCCATGCACATCCCATGCCAGTTGGTGATGTTTCCACTCAGGAAGCTTTCTATTGCTCCTCTGTAAAAGGTCATTTGCACAGGAATTTTGCCTTCTTTTGCTGTTTTCTAAAGAAAAAACAGCTGTTTCTGAGCTTTCTTCACCAGTATGGAGGTGTGAGTGGACCATATCAGGCTCTCTGTCATTCTGATTCCCGGGAACTGTTCACCTGCTCCACCTCAGCTCCTCTGATGTAGACAGGAGTGTGAGTATATGTCTTTGTCTCCTTTTCCATAAAATCAACAATCATCTCCTTGGTTTGCTGACATTGAGTAGCAGCTTGTTCTCTGTGCACCACTCAGCAAGATTATCAATTTCCTCCTGATATATATCATAACATAAAGTGGAAGAACCAGATAATACATCCTCACATAGACACAAGCAGGCAGGGTGAAACACATTAGGTAATCAGCGGGAAGACACAGACAGGAAACAAAGCAAGCAAAGGACACCAAAGACAGACCATTTCAAATTGAAACAGGAAACACACCAACCTTAAAATCAAACAGCATGACGGGCATCTGCCGTACGTAATCTACTGTAAAATGTTTACTTTACATGATGTAGAGCAACACACTTTCATCGGAGGTCAAGGAGTTTATGTTTGAAGTTTGAATGTTGTGGTTTTCACTTATTTGGTTTCCAAAATATTTCCTGTAGGTTTGAATGCTTTACATAGCTCTGCTGTCTTTAAATGAAGGACCATTGGGCCATGTTGAAACGGTCTGATCACCATACACGTCTCTTATGATCAAATTAATAGATGGCAATGTTAAGCTGGAAACTAGCTACAAGAAACTATCTCTGGTGAAAAAGGTAGCCTAGTGGAAAATACTGGATAGTTAAATGGTGAAATAGCTTAAAGTAATTGATAAATGTTTAAAGTAAATAGCCAAAAGTGACAAAGTGATAAAGAATTGCAATAGTTATCTAAAAGTAATGGATACATGGTTGAAATCGAGGGTTAAATGAATGGATTAATAATGCTATTAACTGTTACAATAATAACAGTTAATAGCTAAAAGTGGTGGATAAATGTTTTTTTAGACAAAGTTTACCAAACCAACCTAACATTGACAGTTTGACTGTATAAAATGTTTTTGTAACAAAATGTTTACAATTGTATATAAAAATATGGTTAATAATGCAAAATAGCATCCAATTTTAAATCAATTCAAATGAACACATTTGGAACATGATGGTGTTGGTAAAGGACAAGGGTATGTCAAAAGGTTGGGTACCATTGCCTCAGTGTGTATCGAATCACTTATCTTATTTACAGACATCCAAGATTGTGAAGCTTCCTAAATTAATTGTATTTTAATTTAATTTATTTAATTTCAAGGTTTAAATAGCCATGACATACTTGAGAGTATCTGAAAAAATGTATTGTTTAACTACAAGATACAGACACCATCATCTCTTATCATCTCTTGTCATTTAATATATTTTATAAATATTTAATAAATATTTTATGTATGAGCATAAGACGTAATGTAGACCGTTGGCTGCAAATGTCAAAAGTTTATTCTACGATCATTTGTTGACTGCAGGGTCATGGAATCTAGACACATTCAAATGTACCTGTACTGTACACCAGATGTCGCCATTCATCTTTAATAGTTTTTGTCCTGGGCTACATTTTCACACCCCCATCTCGAGCATCTGAGATTAATCTGTTTCACATAACAATTCACTTATAAAAAAACAAGTGTTTTCTATATAATATCCCTCAATCAAACTGAGGAATGCCAAAGGTTAATGATGTGCTCAGGGTTATAGTGTCCAGTAGCAGTAGTTGGTAATAAATCAGCAGGAAAATAACCAGTAGAAAGGTCATAAATTTGGTGAATGTTTCTTGGTCAGCACTAAACTACTGTGCAAACAGGAGTCATAAGAGTGATTTGTGAAGTGGAGAATAGTTGGGTATTGTGGCAGGCCAGCCTGCCCATTTTTGTTGTTGTGAGTAGGGAGTTTCCAGCCATACAGCTAAGGGGAAGCACCACAGGATGTCCTTTTCCTCATTCCTCAAGGATAGAATGACTCTGTGTACATGTGTGCCTTACTGTTTTTCTCATGTGTGTTTCTATTAAATAACAGAATGGGTAACGTGTCAATGGGTTTTTTCTGTCAGTTGCTTTTCTTTTGTTGCACTGATGCATCGAATAGACATCCAGAACATGGAACTGTCAATAACCACATCTAGTCCAGTCAGTATTAACCTGGTCTAAATTTGACATATTATAGTCTGATTGATTACTTAGTTATTGTATAACTGATCAATCCTTTTTTTTTTTTTTTTTTGTTATTTTTTTAAATTTTTTAAATTTTATTTTATTTTTTAACTGATCAATCCTGCTCTACTACAATAATACAACTTTGATCAGGTTTCACATTCTGATGCATTTGTGGTGGCAGAAGATTTTGTTGTAAAATTATGTCTTTCTGTGGTCTAAATGCTGTTTGCTGATCGTTCCATCCCACATGGTAAAATGTGTAACCTAACAGTTCCTTGGAATTTTCTGGAGTCAGGAGTTTCTGGAACAGTCAAATGGAAAAGGGCCAAAACACAACCCAAAAAGACCTCTTAAAGGATAATACCAGTTTATTACAACTTATCGTAAAGTCATTGCACACTGTGCAATGTTGATACGGATATAAGTGGCAGCTACAAAAACACCCTCCACTCCTGCTTTTGTCAATCAGACCATCTTTTCCTGCTTCTACTGACTACTTACTACCAGCTGATAAAAAGGGTAAAACCATCAGAAACAAAACAGTCCAAGTGTGGACAGAGGAAGCTATAGCACCTTTATGATATGACTGTTTTGAGTGCACAGACCAGAATATGTTCAGAGATGACTTCACCCATGAATCAATCAATCAATCTTGAGGAATATACATCATCAGTGACATCATACATCTGCAAAAGTTAAATAATTAACTGGCAGCAATTGGCTAGCAGCTTACTGTAGAAGAAATTACAATATTGCATGGTGTTTGTATTTACAAAATAAAACAGAGAAAGTACTGTGTACTGTATTTTTGGTTACAGTAGTGTTGTAACTGTAAAATAAAAACCGTAATTTCCAAGCAGTACTGTGTTTTTGTTTATGGTAATAGTGTTTTAACTGTAAAATAGAACAGTCTTTACCAAGTACAGTTTTTATGATTAGAGATTACAGTGATTAGAGAATACAAGAATGGTCTACATTTATCAGTATAATGGTATATTTTCTACAGTAAATTAAAAGTTTGATATTTGAAGAAGTACAACGTCGACAGAAGGATATGGCAGGCTGAGTGTGGTATGGAAGGTTTTGAAACTGCTCCATCCCAAATAGTATTGTTGTATGAACAACCACACCAGGAAGGAGGAAGGAAAGAGTAAGCGCAGTTCCAGCAGTCACTCTGAAGTAAACCATCTGCTACAGTAGTAACTGCCAAATCCAGTGGAGTGCGCTGTGGAGTACAGTTCAATGTCTTCTGGCTAATTTATGTGGTGTTCATAGAAAAAGGAATTGCATACCAAGAGGAAAAGCAATCGTGCCACATCTCCATTATCCAATTACAGAGACTGGAACATTTCATTGGCATTAAAGGAACCGCTCTAAGCTGGTTTAAGTACTATTTATCAGATCGATCTCAGTCTGTACATGTTAACGATGAATGCTTGATGCACGCCAAAGTTAGTCACGGAGTTCTACAAGGATCTGTGCTCGGACCAATCCTGTTCACTATATATGCTTCCTTTAGGCAACATTATCAGGAAACACTCCATAAACTTTCATTGTTATACAGATGACACAGTTATATTTCTTGATCAAGCCAGATGAAACTAGTTAATTAGCTAAACTCAAATGTGCCTTCAGGATGTTAAAACCTGGATGACCTGTAATTTTCTAATGTTAAACTCTGATAAAACTAAAGTTATTGTACCAGGGCCCAAGAACCTCTGAGATATGTTATCTAAAGATATAGTTACTCTGGATGGCATCGCCCTGGCCTTCAGCACCACCTTCAGGAATCTTGTTATCTTTAATCAGGGAATGTCGTTTAAATCTCACATTAAGCAAATTTCAAGGACCACCTTTTTTCATGTAATATTGCAAAAATCGGAACATCTTGTCTAAAAATTATGCAGAAAAACTAGTCGATGCTGGATTACTGCAATTCCTTATTATCAGGCTGCTCGAAAAAGTCAATTAAGACTTTAGCGAATCCAGAATGCAGAGATGATCACAAGTCTTTGAGCTAGAGTCCAAGTCAAGTCTCAAGTCTTTGAGCTAGAGTCCAAGTCAAGTCTCAAGTCTTTGAGCTAGAGTCCAAGTCAAGTCTCAAGTCTTTGAGCTAGAGTCCAAGTCAAGTCTCAAGTCTCTCATGGTTATTACGAATGTTGTATCACCTGCTGTTGTATCACCGGGCTGCTTATAAAACTGCATAGCTATAAGGAATTCAGTAACTGTAACCTGTTTTCAGTTACAGAGCACAAACATGTAATGTGCAATGCAATTAATGACAGCTTATTAAATACTGTAAGTCAAACCACTTCCCAGACTCTTAAACCCAGTGTAACGCTAACTAAATAAAACTGTGACGAAACCTGTAACCTGTTTTTAACTTACAGAGCACAGCCATGCAGCCTAATGTACAATGAGTCTACAATTATATTATAAATTACTGTAAGTCAACAAACCCTGTTGATTGTCAAACCAGTGTAAAGTTAACTAAATAAAACTGTAAAGTTACATGATCAACAATAAACAATAAAATTATGTAAAAACTTATTGCAATTGAAATTTATATTTAAAAAAAGAATCCTTGATGGATATGAGCTGGAACAGTGATTTTCTTTTCTGATCTTTATTTAGTTAAGTTTATGTAAGTTACATAGTTTAAGTAGTTAAAACATATCAGTGAAGTGGGGATAGGACAAGAAAAGTTATTCTAACTTCTTCCTACCCCCTTTGAACATGACTGTTATTTGGACCATCTGCAGATGATCTTTTTTTGTTGATTGTTTATTTTTATTCATTTTTTGTTGTTGTCTTTTAACATGTTCAATAAAGAGTAAAAAACAAACAAACAAAAAAAAAAAAAAAAAAACCTGTAACCTCTTTCTAGCCAACGGTAATAATTAACATGATGGCAGCCAGCGGGACGTAAAGGATTACATTAATCGACTACCACAAGTTTGGCAAGTAAACAAATGCTCATTCCTCTTTTCTTTTCATAACGAACGACAGTTGGAGTTAACCTCTCCTAGGTTGTAGATAAAGCAAAAAGCAAGCTAACGTTAGATGGCCAAAGCTGAGCTAAACATGTTTACTCACCACAGATTACTAACCTATTTGTGTTCAGCGCTTCTTGTTTGGGTCTTATTGTATTAAGTTTTAAAGCCAAAGTTTATGATGAATGGCTCAGCAGCTGCCACTGTTTGTTGTCATCTCTCACATGTGGCCGCGCACAGCAGATGCTACGTGTTACGTAGTCAGGTTATAGGTAACAAAGGGAGGGAATAACGGCACGCTCATCAGACGTTTTCTAAAAAATAAACATTGTTCACGAGTCCCACACCTCAAGTCTCAAGTCGAGTCTCAAGTCACTGTGTGTGCGACTTAAGTCGCACTTGAGTATGAGTCTCTAACTCCAGTGCCCATCTCTGCCAGAATGCTGCGGAACGTGTTCTGACAGGAACCAGGAAAAGAGATCATATTTCTGCTTCTCTTTATTATTCTCTAGAACTGCTCTTCTATGATAAGCGCTTTGAGATAACTGTTGTTGTGATTTATATAAAGAAAATTGAATTGAATCTCAGCTCCATTTTACAGGCGTGTCCAAGACGTCATAATCATGGTGAGACAGAAATGCAGCAGGCAGCAACAGTAACTCTGTAGAAGGATCTGCCTTTGGTTAGGACAAAATCCAAAAGATGAATGACGTATGGAAGTTTGAAAGCTGATGAGTAGGATCTATTGGAATGTTTGGGGCTGCTCTCACACCCAGATGTTACACAGACAACAAAGAAATATAAACCGTTCCAAGAAATGCCAAAGAAGCTCCAGAAATCCAGACATTTGGCTTTACTCAACTAGACGCCGTGGCCAGCAAGACAGATGAGGTTAATGGCAAGCGAGATGATGAGGCTATTGATACTTGGTGTGGCGGTGCCGTGGAGGGAAGAGAGACTTATAATGAGTCTCTTCTTGAGACTTATAATGAGTCTCTTCTTGATGGAGTACATCCTGGCAGCAATGATGATGGGGTGGATGGAATAGTGCATTGGGAAAGGGGGGCTGTTGAATGGATGTATCATGAAGCCGTCATCTTCTTTAGTAAGGAGCCTGTGCTCTGTATTGGGCTCAGAAAACAAAGATTTCAATGAAGCAGCCCCCGCCATACGTTATACCTAGATGTATGAAATTGTGGAAGCAGATGTATCATTTCTAGCCTCTTGGAGCATAGCAGGTGTATGTTGCTACTATGGAAGCCCAAGCACAGACGCAGACACAGGGGAACTTGTACCACTAATATTTTATTTAGCCACTTGCACACACAAACACCAGCATATCTGGTACCGATTCAGCTTCTGGCTACCAGCCTCACGCTTGTCTCTTCCCGTACCAAACTCGCTACAGTCCCTGCAACAATATTACCTGTGTCCTACAGCTACTTCGGCTGTTCTCTCGATGGCGTGTATGTCAGGTAGGTTGGGGAGCATCTGAGGTCCAGCATACTAGTGCATTTAAAAGGAGAGCACAATTAGTAAATAAACAACAGCTGTGAAAATGCTCTCTCTCTGGCACTGCTCAACTCCCCCGCCTCTCCCTTCTGCAGCTGAATGGCAACCATGCACCCCTCCACAAAGCCATATCCTAAACCCAACAAGAAGTCACCCATCTTGAAATTAAATCACTTTTTAAAGGTATTTATGGTCATTTTTTGTACTTTAATGTACTCCCCCTAGAGAATTAATCGGATCAACTTAAAATTTAAGTCAATCTAAAGACTTAATTTGCAAACATTTTGAGTTTCCTTTGAATGGCCTTGAATTCTGTTGTTTTACAATTCGTACCTGTCCAAAATGCTTGAAAATTCCGAGCCGCATCATCAGACAAACAAACAAACAAAGCATAGAGGGCGAGAGAGGCGTTATAACATGCAAACTAGGTAGAGGGAGAGGAGGGGAAAGGTTGAATCTTGTGCTGGACAAATACCCAGATCAACAACTTGATTCGACTCCTTTGTGCAGCGTCCACTGTTCATGGAAATTCAGAGCTGCGTTGACCAACCTCCAGCGATGGCCGCGGAAGAGACACACCCCAATGTGCGGCAGCTGCAAGAGTCCGCTCATTGCTGCTTGAAGCTTTAATTGGTTATTCTGATTTTCTACGGTAAATAATATCTTACAGTTATGCCTTTCAGTCAGGAGACAAGGAAGCATTCAACACCGCTAGCATTCATTTGGAATCATATATTTTCACAAATGTGATTTCAATGTAACCTTTTCTTTTAGCTCTGTTTTGGTCATATCAAGGTGTTTAGCAGCAATCATGTTCACCAGCTATTTTCTAACATTTGCTAATGTTACACTCAAAATGAAGACATGGTGGTTTCAGGTGCCAGAGAGTTTTATTTTACTGTAAATATAACACAAAGACAGTCTTGAATGAACATCGGCTTCATCTGCTCTTATGTTGACTGTCTTACATTTACGACTGGGCTAACTCCCTTGTAAAATGGGATTACAGTGCCAGTCACTAAAATACCAAAACCGCAACTGCCGCCTGCTAGCGGGTATAAGTATAGCTCTACTGCTTCTGAAAGGAAGTTCAAGTTTCCCCAGTTTTAATAGTGACACAAGGCACTATCTACTGTTTGGCAGATAGTACAGTGGGTTTGACCTGGGAAACAAGGTTGATGAGAGTATAAAGAGTGAACCAAAACAAGTTTTGGGCCATAAAACCAAAAGAATGAACCAAAGGACAATAAAATGACCTTTACATCAAAGTTGTTGGGTGACAATTCTTTGTAGGTTTGTAACTTTGAGCCTCCCCTTTCACATTACATGTACTAATTTAATTAAGCTATTCTGTTGTGTTCCCCAAATTTCTCCAAATTGTTACCATAGATATTTAGCGTGTCAGGGTGGGACTTATAGTATATGACACTAAAGCTGTCTTTATGCTTCACTTTGCAGCAGGTACTGAGCTTTATGTTCCATTGACCAACAATGGTACTCAGTGGAAGTGTATGAAGCTCATAGTGAAGCACTTTGAAGGAATGAGTGCGACAGCTGCTGGGGGAATCCTACTACACCATAAGGTCACATGGTACACAGAAACACATACTCTATCCCTCTGATCCCTCCACCCCTCCCCTTCCCTCCGTCTCTTACTAATGCTGTGTACAGTGAGGGAGGGAAAAAGTGGGAGGGTTATAGAGGAAGGAGAGGAGGGGGAGAAGCTGGGAGGGAGAGAGAGCAGAGCAAGCAAGAGGAGGAAAAGGAGAGGCAGTGAGTGGTGTGAGCCCAGATTACAACCAACCAGATACCGAAGCAGGAAAGACAGGAGCGTGGAGGAGAGAATACAGGGATACAAGCTCCTGACATACACACTCCTTCTGTGTCAGTTGAAAAGAAAAACAGAGGTGATTCCATGCAGGTTTTCATCAGGAAGAGGGAAGGAGAGTGACAAGGAGGGGAAGAAAAAGAAAGACGAGGAGTACTCTATATCCAAGAGCGAGCTTTTCAGAGGACAGTGCTGTCACAGAGGAGGAGGAGGTGTGGTGTGTGTGAGAGTGTGGGTTTACAGCAAATCGGCGGCACAAGTGATACGACACTGAAGTATGTATGTGAAGTGAACTCCCACACCAAGCCCCTCATCATCAAAACCCCAACGTCATCTGCCAAGAACCAACCTGAGCTTTCACAAGCCATGCTGAGGACCGGGAGCCAGCCGAAGTCTTACTGAACACCATGGCCCAGGTGAGGACAGGCTCACACACACGCACAGCTTCACACAGTGTCTTCAAAGCATGCGTGTTGATGCATATGAATTTGAATGCAGAAGCAAACTTGGTTATTAATGTAACAGGGGTAATTGAAAGACATATATGCTCCATTTCTTTTCTTTGTCTCTCTCATACTGCTTCTCACACTATCAAGAAGAACACAGGCAATATCCTAATGTCTGCCAGAGGTGTACCTGAGAAAAGTCTTGTGTATTACTTTACCTTGACCTACAGGCATCCCTGCAGCTCTTATGCAGAACAACTCACAGTGAGGGCAGAAAAAAGCTCAAATGTCACCAACAAATTACAGAAGTAAGATCTGTTTTGCAGTTGGCTTAATGTGTGTACAACCATACTAGGATCATGTAATAATGAAGTGCTTAAAAAACTGCACTCTGGCAAAATGTGGCAAAAACAAGTGTTTACATTTCTGAGAGTTTGTACATCATTACTGTAATAATAAATAATAGATAATGGATCATTCTTTTTGTTTTTTATTACATAAGACCATTTTTGAACACCTTGAACTTCTAAATGTTCCTACGTCAGTTGACTGACAACTGAGAGCCGATGTTGATGGGAAACAAGCTATCAACTTCTGTAGTACGCCCTAATAGGAGAAAGTCATTCTGACAAACATTTCTACAGTATAGCGACTTGATTATAGTGATTTTCACATTGTTTGATTTCTGTAATTTCTGATGAATACATAGTATTCTACTGTGAAATAGTATACTGTGGCCCTATGCAGAACCAAAAAAGCTGCCTTTCTGTCAGGAGACAAGGAAAAATTCAACACCGCTAGCATTCATTTGGAATCATATAGTTTCACAAATGTGATTTCAACATAATTTTTTCTTTTAGCTCTGTTTTGGTGTCCAGCTTCCGGGAGATATATCAAGGTGTTTAGCAGCAAGCATGTTCACCAGCTATTTGCTAACATTTGCTAATGTTACACCCAAAATGAAGACATGGTGGTTTCAGGTGCCAGAGAGTTTTATTTCACTGTAAACATAACACAAAGACAGTCTTGAATGAATATTGGCTTCATCTGCTGTTATGTTATCTGCTAAAAGGAGAAAGTCAGACTGACATACAGACTACGAACATTGTTACAACATTTATAACAAGTAGTATTAGCTATTAAAGCACTGTTATGTAAGTGGAATTTGGTGCCCCTGCAGTTTCATAGTGTAATTCACTGCTGTCATAAATGACAACAGCTGCACAAGTGCATTTATTATGATGACATTACTTATGATCAAAAACTAGCAAGTCGACAACTTTGCTAACGCAGCCAAACATCAAGCAAGACACAGCAATATTACTGACTAGTCCAACATAAAAATGCCAGCTTGGCGTCTGTCTAGATGCCTGTCACTCTTTTTCTTTTTCTCTTCTTAGCCTACAACGTCGTGAAACTTTGGTGGCACACTAGCTAATAAAGCTAGACAGCTAACAACGCAAGAGCACTTAGAGTGAGTGCTCTTGCAGGAGGCCAGCTTGGCATCTATCTTGCATCCTATCAGCTCTTTTAGCTCACGGCAATGATTAACAGTTGTCTGGTCTCTTGCTCAGTCATTCCCTAATTTTTCTCTTCCTCATTTTTTATAGCTAGCTTGCGTCGGGTTAGTGGGATGTGGTGCCGTAAAGCATTAAGCCGTTGTCGCGAAAGGAGTGTTCCATTACAAAATTCAACATTTAAAAGCTTAAAGGGTGGCTTTTTATACCTCAACCCTACTTTCCCATGTTTTTGTGTCTAAGTGAGAACACGCTGTAGTTAGCAGTCATATAATAATAATACGTCCACTAAAGTACTTGTTAACTTATACTTGGTAAATTATAAGAGTGAATATATCGCCAACCTCTAGCTATTGGTGGTAATTTTGGTTATAATTATTAATTGGAGTTCCAAAGTGATAGTTAAGTATATTTTATGAGACTAAATTTATAAGACTCAGTTTTCTTGTCTTTAGTGCTGCCCGAGGTGAATTTAGTTAAATTCTATTAGTAATTATTAACTAATAATAATAATAATAATTATAATTATATTATTTACTGGAAGTATTGATGCCATTTAAACCCTAATTGCCAACATGCCAATTTTACCTCTCTGGTCTACCACTGCCTCAGTCAGTTAGTTTGTTTGTGTGTTTGTGTGACTTAGTGTTTTTAACCCTTTTAAATCACCAACGTCACGCAATAACCAAAACAGACCAAAACACCAGAGTCATACAATAACACAATCCAACCCACTGAGACAGCGTTAGACCATCAAGTCCCTTGTTGTGCAAGGTAAAATTACTGTTTATTCTGTCTGTGTTATGCATGTGTGTGTATTAGACGAGCTGTGGTCTTTTCATAGTTGGTGACAGCCAATAAGAAAAAGAGGGCATGGGAGGTCTGTAAGGTCTTTATGGTGTGTGGTGGATATAAAGGACAGTGTATTCTTTAAAATAGAGCAGACATTGAATGTGTTAGGGTGGAACAACTCTGTCTGCCTGGCTGAATAATGGAGAAACTATGTAGTCACAGTCTGAAAGGTGCATTGTATTTTGGGGGGTTGTACATTTGTGTGTGGAAATGTCAGGATATCCTGCTCTTGCTCTTGTGGAAGTTTATGTGAAACAAACATGGATTATCAGGTAGGACTGGACTACTACCACAGCACAGGCATTTGCTTTCCTACCAGGAGTGAGAGGGGCATATAGATCAATCAACATGTGATAAAGGGGAACTCCACCTATTTTCCACATTAAAGTGTATTTACAGGTGTTGTGGAGTACTAAAATTTCAACCAGGGAGGACACAAGTTAAGCTTGTGCAGAAGCTTTATTTGATAGGCAATATCAATAAGAGCAATGTAAAGGGATAGAGCCAATCAAAGACAACCGTAGGTAGCCGCACATGGGGCCTTGGCACTGGTGGTGGTGGAGGCCGAAGCCAGCAGTGAGAAACAAAATAGGTAAGGTTATTTTAATGTTCTTATGCTAAGATGATCATTGGATGATAGGAAAGCCTGCATCCAAAACCTAGTGAAATAATGGTTGACATTTGTCTTCAACTTACACTTGAAAAAAGTTTATATAGTATCAAGTAAACTGTCCTGCCCATCACCTTATCTTTAATAACCAAATTTCGTGGATTGTTGTCAAAAATATTTGTTTATATTTTGTGTTTATGTTAAAAAACATGAGACAATAAATCATTATTAGATTGATTTGACTTTGATATTGATCAAAAAGTGTGGTATTGGCTCGGAATTGGTTATTAAATATTGGCATAACATATTGACTGTGGCATTTTGACCTTTGTCTAGATCTCTCCTCTGAACAGCAACTGTCCATAAACTTTTTTACTGCTTTAACGTGAGCTGCAAACGTTAGCATCCGTGATTGACTTTCACATTTTTGCTTACCAGCCACTGTGGGAAGTGGTTTTTCAAAGTTATAGCCACTGCCAAAGTAAGTAGCCACTATATTTAGGATCAGTTTTGGCTCTTCGAAAACAACTATTTGTTGTTCCTTTTTTTCATCAGCCTACACAAGTCTCATGTTTCACCTGTGAGACTGCCTATCTTCGTCATCTGTGATGTGAAAACATCTGATTTCCACACAGTGTGCATCCTGTTCGTAGTTCAGTTATAAAATCCCTGTCGCTGACAGTCTGTTTCTATGAACCTTCACCACGTCCATCACAGTTAGTTGGTGGTTTGTGGTCATTATGATGTTTGTAAAGTTTACAGCCTGCCATGCTGTGATGCTCCAGCATTGCTCTGTGTATAATGACAAAAGTGCAGAGATCTGGGTTAGCTTAGCTCTTATCCCGGCTCTCTTCCTGAGGAGATTGCACCACTTGTGGCAGTGTTTAGTCCGGCTAGTTTATCTTCCCAAGATCTGCTGCACTTAATACGATCCCTGCGCTCTTTCTTACACTAGAGTGTTTTTCTGTCGTAGGCATATATTTGCTGAGCCCCGGCCAGGTCTCTGCAACGATGTGGGCACGATAGTCTCTCAGTTCCGTTGCTTGGTAAATATGAGTCCCATTTTGTCCAGACCGGCTCTTTAGGAACAGAATTAAGTCCAAGCTGGGTCTGGCTCTCTTTCCTCTTTGGGCCGGGTGGATTGTGGTCTGCTGCACTTTAATCCAAAAACCCCGTCTTCATCTTCCAATAACTGTATTTATGTCAGAGGTAACTCATGTTTTGGCAATAAAGCCGGAAAAAACAGATAAAAACAAAAGTGTAGAGAAGTTTGAAGGAGCCACCGGCTGCTGCTTCTACAAGCGCTGCCAGTTGCCACAGCAAAAAAAACATTATATAATAACATGGATTCATTATTCCTCCTAAATAAAGACACTAACAGTCCAAAACCATCAGTGTCAATCTTCAGAAATGCTTACATATCAAATTGTAGTGTGAACTGTAGGAAAGCTAATACACAAGTTACAGTATAAGCATAAAATGGAGGATAATAGACTTGAAGCCAAAAAAGACCTTCACAAGTGAAATGTGATTAGTAACCCTAACCCTCCTTTAACAATATTGATTGTTAAAGGAGTGTATCTGTTCCCGGGCTCTATAGATTAGAAATTGGCTTATTTGCATAAAGTTTAAGAGGTCCTAGTTAGGACAACATAAATTTAACAACCAATGTTTTTTCTAGTGAGGAAAGCATGACAAATAGTGTATTTGTCATACAGCCAAACAAACTGCATTGTAGCCTGACTAGCAGTTTTGCTAAGAATTAAGTTTATCTATGTATTGTTTAGGGTTTAGAGAAATGAAGTGGTCAAGGTTAGTGTTTTCTCATAAATAGAAATGCAAGTATGTGGGTCTAGTTTTAAGGATATACATATTTTTTCAACAAGATGTTTGTATTTTAAAGATATTCAACACACTCAGTAATCACACTATAATATCCTGCTTTGGTTTGGTGATCATTTGATACTTGTTTTTAAATGTGATCAAGTTTG